ATCCTGCAATAGATAAGCAAAATTGCAATACAGGACTCTCTGGGGACAGTCGGCGCCATCTAAATAAGGATCGCAGATGACAGTGTATAGCGGTGCTAAATGGCTTGCTTTCCGTGGGTATATTGTGGCAATGCAAAGGGAAGCCCAAGGCTGTCACTGGCTTAGGACGTCGACTCTGAAGTTCTTTTTCTTTTTGAGTTAAGCTTTTTATTGAACATGTTACAAAGGAGAGTTTAATCAAAAAAAACCCATGCCCATGTCATCAACAGACACTTCAGATTCTTTTCTTTCCCTCCACTTTGCACCTGGAGTAGTCATGGGGGAGGGAGCGGGACTTCCTGCTGCGGGGGGCAGGTCGGCTCACGCCTACGTTAGAGATGAGACTCTTGATGTTGATGTTGGCCAGGGCCTTTGCAAACAAGGCAGGCCAGAAAGGCTCAACATCTACACCAGCTGCTTTAAGGAGGGCATTGATCTTATCCTCCGTGACTGTCACCTCACTGTCCTGCAAGATAAGGATGGAGTAGATGCAGGCGAGCTCCGAGACAGAGGTCATGGTGTTGGAGAGAGAAGTCAAGGTGCTGGAGCTGCCTGGCGGACTCCGTGCTGGTGGCTGGATGAAGTGAGGGCCTCACCCCAAAGCGACCTTGGAAGGACCTGAAGGATGAAGCACCTCAGTGGCAGCTGAGGAAAGCTGAAGTACTGAGGAAAATACTCTGGAGGCAGGGGAAATAATGAATAGGCCAAGTGTTAATGGCTAGTAAATCTGGATGAAGACTATATGGGCTTTCTTTTGAGTCTTCTTGCTTTGTTGTTCTCGTCTTAAACTATTTTAACTCTCTATGAGTTTGAGATTGTTTCAAAATAAAAAGTTCAAAAGAACAATTAAAAGAAAGAGATGCACTTGAGCCATTCCTTGCAACTATAACAAACCAAAACATCCACCTGGAAAGATCCTTATACAGAAGGCTATGTTTAGCCCAGCACCAGTCAGAGTCTACCAGGAAAAAGTCACTTACAATTGTACCTCCATTCTCCTAGCTGGAAAATGTCCCTCTGAATGGGCAGGCCTTGGCTTGTTCAAGTTGGCCCACATCCAGTCAATACATTAGAAAGGCTTGGGAAGAAGGAATATTTCATTTGATACTTTCTCTGGCCTTAGGGAACTTACAGCATAGTTGAAAGACAGAAACACATCAGATTTTGACTTGTGCAGAGGACTAATGTGAGAAATGAGAAACTTTAATCCTGGTCTACCATGAATTCATGTGCCATCACGGCCAATGACAAGGCCTCTTAAAGCTTCAGGTCTTATAAGTATGTAAAACAAGGGGGTTGTATTGGATGATGACAATGATAATATTAATAGCTAAAATTCACTGAAGCATTTATATACCAGACCCTATGCTAAGCATTGAACATGGGTTAACACATTGAAACCTCACAATACCTGCTGTGAGGTAGGTACCACTGTCAACCCTGTTTTATAGATAATCTGGAGATCCTTTCAAGTCCAGTGTTCTATATTATGTGATTTCAAGGTAGGTTACATGGTGAGCTGTGACTTTAAGTAACAGAGTAGACACTACTTTCCAAACGTGGCCACAACAATATTTCCCATCCCACATGTTCTGACACTCCTGCCTTTGAGAGGAGGGTCAATGTCCCTCCAACCTCCCAATTCCCCGCCCCCTCCCCCCTCATCATTGAATTTGGGCGGGCTTGTGCCTGGAGAAAATGCAATTATGGGACTTTTAGAGGATAATCATAAATTCCAATCTAGATTATATTAGTTTCCCATTGTTGCCACAACTCAAACTCAGTCACTTAAAATACCCATTTCTTAGTTCACAGTCTGTAGGTCAGAATTCTGGGCACAGCATGACCAGATTCTCAAGGTCTCGCAGGATGAAATGCAGGTGCTGGACGGACTGCTTCTCAGAGAGTTTAGGTGTAAATCTACTTCCAGGCTCCTTCATGCACTTGGCAGAATTCCATTCTGTACTGCAGTAGGACTGAGGTCTGAGTCTCCGGGCTGGGTGTCGGCTGGGGCTTCACCAGGCTCCTCGAGGCCGTTTGAATTCCTTGCCATGTGGGCATTTCCTCCCTCAAAGCCAGCCACAAAGAATCCCCCTCATGTCAAATCCCTCCCCCGCTTCACATCTCAGACTTCCTCTGTTTCTGACCTCTAGACCCAGATTTAAAAGGCTGATGTGATTGGGTCAGGTCCACTGGGGAGAATCTTAAAGTCAACTTACTTGGGGCCTTAATCATATCTGCAGAATCCCTTTGTCATCAAATCAAGTCATCTAATCATATTCATAGCTTCCACCCACACTCAAGGGGAGATTATACAAGGGTATACCTTTGGGGGCCATTTTATAATTCTACCGACCACATAGCTTCTGCTTGATTCTCTTGTCACGCCTGTTCTTGGAGCTATGTGGGAGAGAAGCACCTGGAAGAGGCCAATGCAGAGAGGAACTGAGACTTCCAGGCCAATAATCCCAACTGAGTTCCCAAGCCAACAACCAGTATCGGCTTGCCTGCCATGTTAGTGAGTCATTTCGAAAGATCCTCCAACCCCAACTGAACTGCCTCAGCTGGTCACGCATGGAGCAAATGAGCTGTCCCCATCAAGTCCAGCCTAAATTCCAAATTTGTGAGTAAAATTCAGGATTTCTGTTTTCTAAGCCACTCAGTTTTGGGGTGGTTTGTTATGCAGCAATCAGTAATTGAAAGGAAGTAACAATTTGCATGTAGATCATCATCTACAAGTACCAAGAGCTGCTTGTGGATAAGGATTGGGAACATACATTTCTTTTAGGACACTGGAGCATCTGGCAGTGTAGGTCCTAAAATATCATTCCTCAATTTATGCTTGCTGATTTATCAATTCAGACATACAATGAATTGATTTACACTTGTATAACTGTCATTTGGGTTTGGAAGCCCATCATTTTAAAATGGGTTATCCAAAAATCATGGGGCTTTCCTTTTAAGCAGCAGCTATACTATATGTTTTTATTTTTTTTTTTAAGATTTATTTATTTATACATACAAGAACTGGGTACTGGCCATAGTTGTGGAGGACGAGAGGATACACCAGAGACAGAGTGGGGAACAGAACAGGCAGATTGACTGAAATACACTGCTGAGGGGAGCAGCATGTGAGACAGGAGAGGTCTGCCACGCCATGTGGGTAGCTCCCTCGCAGGGGATCAAACTCATGCTGCAGTGGCTGCAGATAGCTTCATAGTGCTGACACTTAATCCTTTGCGCCACCAGGGAGGCCCCCATGTTTAATTACTTTTCAACAATTATTACTTTTATGGGAAAAAGTAGAAAACACTGGGAAAATAATCATGCTTTTTCATGAAGAATTTGCTGTTGGTGGTGTGGAGTGGACACATGCATCTGAGGAGGTGTGAACCTATCCCCCTAACTTATGTACCACTTTGTAGCCAATGTTACCTCAATAAAGAAAAAGAATTTACTGTTGGGCTAAACCAAAAAAACACCCTAGAAATCTCACCAAATTTACCGTTGGGCTAAACTAAAATAAACCCTAGAAACTGAGGCTACCAGAGGGGGAGGGGAGCACACCTAAGGAGGGGTCCTCATGGACTATGATGGAGGATAATTGGTGCTTTGCCTATGAGAAGAGGCAAGAAGCTATACCTCAAATCATATACAGTGTGGTAAAATCACTGTCTCTGAATAAAAATAGTACAATAATAATAAAAAAAAGTTCTTAAAAAAATTAAGGTTGGGGAAAAGAATATCCCTACACTCTCATAGAGGCTTCCCTTGGATTATTTGTTGATTACCAAGGGGGAAAGTTACCTTAATGGTGGAGAAATCTGCAGACAACTTTGTAACCCACTGATTCAACTTTCCACCACCAGTGATGGAACAGAGTGACATCAAGTACTCTCATTGTGAAGCTCTATGGACACATCACCTGTCCAGCAATAGGGCCAAAGAAATGTTTAACCTAAAAAAAGAATGCTTAGCCTAGATCTAGTTGTGAGAAAATAGAAATACCTTAAATTAAGGACACGGCTCAAGAACCGTTGACTGTACTTTTTAAAAATGTCCATGTCATGACAGACCCCCCCTCCCAAAAAAAAGCTGAAAAGTCTTCTAGATTAAAAAAAAATTAATTTAAGACAGATGATAGGTAAATGTGAACCTTGATTGGATCTTAGACCTCCCCCTCCAACCAGAAAGAAAGCAAACAAGCCATAAAGCTATACACTTAAACACACAGTATATATTGCATAGTGGTACTGCACTAAATGTGAAGTATCTGAGTGGATTATTGTTTGGGTTAAGCAAGAGAATGTTAAGAGACAGATGCTAAAATGTCTACAGGGCCTCCCCTGGTGGCGCAGCGGTTGAGCGCTGGGCTGCAAAACTGCCTCAGCCTCTGCAGCGCCGGTTCCATCCCCGGCCACCAGCGAGGGTCCCACATAGTGCTCAGACCTCTCCTGCCGCGCCCACTGCTCCCCTCAGCAGTGTATTTTGTCAGTCTGCCTGTTCTGTTCCCCGCTCAGGCTCTGGTGAATCCTCTCACCCTTCCGTGCTTCTGACTGTACCCAGTGCTTGTATAAATAAATAAATAAATCTTTAAAAAATAAAATAAATAAAATGTCTAGAGGCAAAATGTGTAAGGACTAAAATTCTGTATCTGGTTGAGGAATTTTGTCTTGGCCTCTAGTCAACACTGTTCACAAATTGGATAACAGAAGCAAAGATACCCTGTACGAGGGTGAGGGGAAGCAGCGCCCAGATCCCTCACTTCCCCGGGTGGCACAAGGGACTCTGAACTTGAAGGTGGGGATGGGGGTTGGGGCAGCTCACGCAGGAGGCCCCGCCCCGCAGGAGGCCCCGCCCCCAGACCGGAAGGCTGCGCCGCCACGCCCTTGACAATGGTGGGCTCAGAACTCCCCCACGTCATTGTGGGCCGGCTGGTCTCCGTTGGTGCTGCTCCGCAGCGCGGCGACCATGGCGGGGCTGGCGGGGCTGCTGCGGAGGGTGACTGACTACGTGAAGACCAAGGAGTTCCGGGACTACCTGACCAGCACACACTTCTGGGGGCCTGTGGCCAACTGGGGCCTCCCTCTGGCCGCCTTTAAGGACATGAAGGCGTCGCCGGAGTTCATCAGCGGCCGCATGACACAGCGCTCATCTTCTACTCCATGGCCTTCATGCGCTTCGCCTACCGCGTCCAGCCTCGAAACCTGCTCCTGCTGGCGTGCCACTGCACCAACGTGATGGCGCAGAGCGTGCAGGCCGGCCGCTACCTCGTCTACCACTACGGAGGGGGTGCCGCCGCCGCGGCCACCATCGCCGGCGCCCCCAAAAACGCCACCCTCGGCGGCCCCTGCGACGACCCCTGCGCCCCTTGCAGCACCTTCGGGGGCGCCCCCAGCGGGGAGGAGGACGCCTGTGTCAACGACGAGTGCGACCCCGGGGCTGCCTGCTTCCGCTGCGAGGAAGGCGCTTGTTAGTGGCAGAGAGCGCCCGAGCGAGGCCTTGCAACTTGCAGGCACAAACTATTAATTCTTACTTCGGAAAAGACCAGTGAAAATCTTGGTTTTGACACAAGTGCGACTCTGACCTAACCTTGCAGTTTGATTAATAAAAAATAGACAATAGCATAGAACTGAAGCTGTACAGCGTTGTCTGTGTTGCGACCGGAAATAAAATAGTTGTAGAAGGTGAAGGTACATGGGCCTTCCTCTTCAAGGGACCTCCAACTTGGGGGGGCGGTTTATATAGGGGAGGAAGTCTGTTTGAATAAGACAGACTCCCGGCTTTTTGTAAAGTTATCTTAGGTACCTGATTTTGTTACTTGTTTTGGGTGTTCAGGCCAAATAAGGGTGCTTAGTGGCACAGGTGACCTTTAAAACTTGGCATAGCCACACATCCCTTCACATCCAAAGAAGTCCAGGGGCTGTTTCTACTGAGGGATGTGCTGGATTCACAGCAGGCTTAAATGAATTTAGTGAAATCCAGTTTAGACTTTTGAGGGCTACTTATTAAGAGAAGCTAGAATCTCTAGGTGACCAAGCGCCGTTATAGGACCATTCACAAACAATTCCGAGCACAGTTGCTATCAACCCTGGATTCTAGGTAAACAGAAAATAAAACGTACAAAATCATAATCCTTTCCTCTTTACTTCATGCTTTCAAATGGGTGAAATGGGGGCTTGTAAAACTGGTTCGCCTAGCAACCTGTGTTGAACACTAGCTAGAGTGGGGGGTGGGGTGAGGGTGAATGGTCAACAGTATTAATCCAGAGTACCCCCCCCCCAGGAACCCTATGGGCCCTACAGACTCAAACCAGGGGTGTGAGAGCCGGGAAAAGGGGTAAGCTGGCAAGGCCACTGTCTCTAGTAGTGGCTGCTGTCTAGGATTTGATCCCAAATCTGCCCCCACCACTGGAAGATGCGGGAAGTTCCAGAGAGGCCTGGGGTGGGGGGGGGAGCAAAAGAATAAGTTTAAGAGTACTTAAACCCTGCTTTTGTTACATATTTCAAATGCAAAGAAATGGAAACATGAACGGTTCTGAAGACCCAAGGCCTGTGTAAAGGAGGCCCAACAGTGGTGGAATTCCTGAAGCTCCCCTTTATCTTCTGTGACACGGACATAGACGTCCTCTTTGTAGGTATTTTCTGTCTTTCACATAGGGCACAAAGGAGTGAAAAGCGCTCTGGAAAACAGAATGTACGAGTTGTCTATTGCTGTGTGCCAAATCACCCCCAAACCTTACAGCTTAAGGAAGTATTTGTGATACCACAGTTTCTGAGGGCCAGGAAATAGGGAGTGGCACAGCTGGGTTCTTCTAGCCCAGAGTCTCTCAGCTTCGGTGGATAAGGGGCCCACTTCCAAATCGCTCACACTTGTTTACTAGAGCCCACCATGGGGCGGCTCACCACCAGAGCAGGTGTTCTGAGAGAGAAAGCCCGGGATGGAAGCCATACACTTTTATAGCTTCATCTGAGGCGTGGCATACCATCACTCCAGCTGTGTTCCACGGGCCACATGGACCAACGCGGGTACACGGTGAGAGGACAACTGAAGGGTGGCACTACCACAAGGCAGGGGTGTTGAGGGTCGTCTTGGAGGCTGGCTACCACACATGCTTCTGACATTAAAATTCTCATGCCTTTCTGAAACCCAGTAGAAAGTAATAAAGCTGGAAAGGTCACCGCCTACCTTCCCAAAGACAAGCCACAAAATGCCCAGTTTAGTTTTGTGGTCATCACTAACATGCATAGAGCGTGGGTTTGAGAAGTCTCTGAAAGATAGTAGTGGCTCCCAGTATTTTAGCTCATTTGGACCATAATGCAGAAATAAAAAGCAGTTCTTAAAGCTCTAAAATGAATCAAAATTTTTATTGAAACAGTAAAGGAGATTTTCCCCCTTTACTATTGCAGAGTACGAATGAATATTTTAGATTTGTCTTACAAAATGTATTTTGTACTTTGAGTATTATATATCAATAAGAGGTCACTGTTCAAGAAATTCCAGAGCAGGGAGGTTCTTAATTAACCTTGTAAGGAAAATGGAGGTAATCTCTGCTGATAATTTTCTATCATTCTACATTTATAATTTAGAGGGTAAAATGATTAGAGAAAATACCGAAAAGATTGCAACACTCCCACTCTAAGGCAATGTTCCAGAATCTAATTCACAGTATGCCCACCCGATTAAAAGATCTGACCCATTGTTGTCTAGGACGTTAATGTTTAAAGCCATTTAAGTGATTAATACTTTAATAAAAATGAAACTTTCAAATCATTGGGGTAATCATTTTGTAATGATTTCTGGCTTTGGCAATTTAAAGTATATACAGATCTCTGCCACTATTTTTTATGACACCAATAATATTCGGAATTGGCTGAACTACTGTTTCGGTGACGCACACACTTTTATTTCTCAGAATTCGTGTTTTATATAAGTTTAATAAGTAAGGTTATCCTCACCCCCTTAAGTCCTCTAAGCTCCCTGGCAAAACACAAGCTAAAATCCAGAGAACTGCCCTATCTTTGCCACTATAATGCTAAAAAAGTTCTATTTCTTTCAAAACTATGAACACATATTGTGTCGCAGGGAGAGGCCAAGAGCAAATAATATTGCAGGATGAAAACAAGCCTCTGAGATGAAGTAAAGGCCTGTCCTGACAGGAGTCCGGGCTTCTTCTGACACTGCCTCACCAGTACCCCTGGAGGTGGCAGTGACCTCCACAAAAATGAAGGCCACAACATACCCCAGGAAACACGATCCATTAAGTCTTGCAGTTTTAATTTATATTGTTCACGGTTTTTTGAAATTAAAAATTTTAATTAAAAAATTTCAAGATACACAAGTGCAAGTCTGTGGTTTCATATGGGCGAATATAAAATAGAAGAGAGCAATTTCTTCTAAACCCTTCCCCATCAACCCCAGTTCCCTTCACAGAGGTAACACAGTCTGGAATAACACAAAACTGTCCAGACCCCTGTTATTTGAAAGTGCAAAAACTCTCTCAGCATGCTAGGCACTTTAAACCAATTTGCTCTTCAATTTATCGTTCTCTCCATAGCTGCCACATCACCTTTCTTTTTAATAGCTGCATGGATGTGCCGTGCTTCATTTAAGCAGTCCTCTCTTGATGGCCGACAGACAACGCTGCTGCGAACGCCCTTTGTGCACACCTTGCGCCCACTGTGTAAAAGAGAGGCCCATGGGGCCTGCCCCTGTACATGCTGCATTTGCGCTCAAGCCCCCCTACGTGGAGATCTTTCTTTCTCTGTTTCAAGTTTAATGTAACAAGTGTCGCCAAGTATATTTTCTAAACAGTGTCTTTTTTTTTTAAGATTTATTTATTTATTTATACAAGCACTGGGTATAGTCAGAAGCGCGGGAGGGTGAGAGGGTTCACCAGAGCCAGAGCGGAGAACAGAACAGGCTGACCGACGAAGTACACTGCTGCGGGGAGCAGCGGGCAGCAGGAGAGGTCTGCGTGCCATGTGGAACCCTCGCCCGGCGGCCAGGGATCGAACCGGCGCTGCAGAGGCTGCGGGCAGCTGCGCAACCCAGCGCTCAACCGCTGCGCCACCGGGGAGGCCCTCTAAACAGTGTCTTTATCAGAACACACACTAAATAACTCTAGTAAGATGACAGCTCTTAGCATCACCATTCACACCTTCACAGATTCTCATGTTGCACATACTTCGGTGCCTGGCACACGGCTAACAGTTGATAAACGGTTGTGGGATGGATAAGGGAAAGCTAACTAAATACAAGAGCTATAAAATGAAAGTGTTCATAGTCCAAACTTCCTAAAGGAAGAAATCAGGTCTTAAATTGGTTAGTGAATCAAGATTTAATTTGATCCCAAGTTTTGTATCTTATATCTGGAACCCTGGAAAGTTTAAGTTTCTTAGTTGGGGTGGGGAGGCAGCTGTAAGAATGAAAGTTCTTTACTACTGAAGTCTTCTCAAGGAATTCTGTGAAGGGAGAAAGGGTAGAATAAAGACCACACGATAAGGGAAAGATAAAAGCAGGAAAATGTAGGCACATTTGCACTCATTTAGATTTTATAAAATGATAGTAAATGCAAATATCCCCCAAGCTCCCCCCATTCCGCACAGATTACACCCAGGATAAAAATTTCATTCTTCAATCTCATAACGAAAGGCCAGGTTTAGTTACTATCAGTGTAACTAGCATTTATCTCTATGGATCAGCCTAAGCTATCAGTTGACCCTTTAGTCAACAAATGCTCAGGAGCACAGCAGGGCCAGGCCCTGTACTCTGTACCGGCGAGTAACTGAACAGCGAGCTGAATGCTGCGGGAGCTCACTGTTCCTGAGTGTGCCACACAAGCCAGCAACTGCAGAGCTTCCCGACAGCCCTGGCTGTGATGGCGGCCTGGGCCCTCCCCGCTTTGGTCAGTCAAGCCACTGTGTTCTCCAGCCCCCACTGACCTGTCTGGTCCCATCTCCTTAAGTATAAATGCAGGAAGTTTGCTGCAGGCTTCCAAAAATGGGTAGTAACAGTTTTGCACTAATTGGAAATGACTAAAAATGGCCCTTTTTTTGGCCTTCCTCCAAAAAGGAAGGCTTTGTATCCCAAAATTTACATCCCAGCCTCCCCTCGTGAATGACTTTCAGGAAGCAGGCGTGGGGCTCTTGTTTGCCAGTGGACAGAGAACTCCGCGTGACCCTTCAGACAGGCTGGACACAGCCTTTACTGTGTTAAGCAGGTAGAGTTTAGGGCCAGAAAAGAATCTGAAAAAAACAAAAAACAACCCTCCCCAACCCAACAACCTGATAGCAAGTTTTGGCACAAGAGTAGGTAACGTTTTTTGGTCAGTGGAGAACACACAACATCAAGCTTGTGAATATTTTAAAAAATGCTCCCAGAGAAACAAAGGGAAGTGGAGGAAAAGGCATTAAAAATTCCTTTTTCTTTAGGTGAAACACTCTTGCAAGTTTTTCCTTTAGCACAGAAATCGGTGACTGAGACAGAAGCCACGCCGACCTTCACATGACACGTTTGATTTTTGTCAGAGGGCAACCTAAAATAAAAGCAAATACTTAATTTATCTGAAGAAAAAAAGTAAAACACTGAAAACATTTATTTTAATGTGTTTTTTTTAGGATAGTTAATGAGTTGCTATTACTGCTACAGCCAAGAGCAAGGTATCACTGGAACCGTTTTAGGGCTGAATTTTTTTTTTTTTAATTGTGATATAACATTGCTCCACTTAGACCAATGACTTCAGGTTTATTTGACTAAAGCAAGCTGAGAGAGTTATGCTGAATTACTAACTGCTGTCAGCAGTCAGAGCACAAAGCAGAGTGTCCTTTTTTTCAAATAACAAGAGTATAGGGACACCAGATGACTACGCCGGGAACCATTACGGCCTTCTGTGAGAGAACAGACATCAAAGACACAAGACTGTTCTGTCCCTCTTTAACGTGATCCGCCTGCACTCACCACAGGCCTCGGCGTCAGGTGTCTGTTCTCTGGGCTCCTCAGAATCCAGCTGGTGATGCGGTATGTGGAGGCTGTCGAGCTTCTGGATCTCTTCTGTAAGATTATTTCTGAGATCCTCGTTGTTTCTCAGAAATTCTTTCACCACTTCCAGTTGCCTTAAGATCTGTAAGAGGGACCCACACCATGTTCAGCGTAGGTGGATTTACAGGAGACTCATAACTCAGATCAAATAGCTCCAGACAGGCTCCGTCTAACATGTCCACCAATAGCTGGCATGGGGCCACACAAGGGCGGTGTTTGCTTGTTTCCCCCAATTTTTTTTGCTTTAAAACGTCCTGCATTTGTACTTAAGGGCTATATTTTTCTGTCTCTATCTATATACGTATATATAGGTACATGCAGACATACACACGTGTACTCAGAAGCACATAAACAATCCTATCTATATGAAAAAGTAAAATAAATCCCTTTCACTTTGAATTTTATACCCACACATTTATTACTATTAAACATACACATAGCTATATATGCATATATAAAAGTAGCCCGAATGAGAAGATTTTCATTTTGAATTCTGTGCCATCTACAACTATTAAATATATATATGTACACACATATATACCCATATACACATGTCTACATACCCATATACACATATGCATGTGCATACAGCTATGTAACAGTAATAAATGTCTAGGCATAAAATTAAAAATGAACACAAGGGTACAAGGTAAAAAGTCAGCCCTCTTCCTATCCCCAGTCATAGATCCTATCCTAAGAGGTGACCACAATGAAGTTTCTTGTGTTTCCTTCAGAGATATCCTGTACATTTACATGTATACATTTCATTTAAAAAACTCTAGCTTTACTGAGGTCTGATGACACATAAACACTTTTTAAAAACAAGTGGCAGCACTAGACATTGTTCTTCAGCAGGCCTTTTCGACATCAGATCAGAAAGAGTGATTATGTAGATTATTTTATTAATGGCTAAATAACATTTCATTGTGGATGTTTCATATTTTAACATACTATTTCAAACCTCTGAAAAGACAAGTAATGCTGCTGTAACTGATCTGGTACATGTGTCATCTTGCCTAAGTGACAAGGCTATATGCAGAGTCTTTTAAAAGTAGAATATAGTCTTGGGCCTCCCTGGTGGCGCTAGGGGTTAAAACGCAGTCTAGGAAGCTGTCCACAGCTTCTGCAGCACAAGTTCAATCCCCGGCCAGGGAGCTACCCACATGGCACAGCAGACCTCTCCTGACTCGCCCACTGCTCCCCTCAGCAGCATACTTTGCCAATCCGCCTGTTCTGTTACCCACTCTGTCTCTGTCTCTCACTGCCCACACCTCTGTTCTGTACCCCAGCTCTTGTATACATAAATAAATAAATCTTTTTTTTTAAAAAAAGTAGAATATAGTCTTAATTAATATATTTTGTCAAAACTGCCATTTAGAGGTTAACCAACTTAAACTCCCACCATTAATGTATTTCCTGATGTTTAAATTAATACAAGAAATCTCAGATAGTACCATGGAAATCTTTTCATTCAGGCTTATCCCAGAAAACCCTCACCCATCTCTGTTTATTACAAGGATGAATGCTACTCATAGTTTTGGGTGAGGGGCCTCAACTCCAAGCTAAGTCAAGATGATCTAAGTTAATGAAGGAAAGTGGTGGAGCACCTTCCCCCTAGCAGTGTGGTGGTTCTCAAACTAGAGAGGGCACATCACTGACTCTGATGTGCAGGTATAGGCTGTAATCTTAGCAGGCACTCAGGTTACTGTGATAGAAGCAAATGAGACAGCCAGATGCTGAAGCACAGCTGCCAGGGGTGGAAGGGAGGGGAAAAGTGGTCAGTGCTCATGACCAGGATGAACAGGGAGCAAGTGTGGCTAGGGAGGAGCTGAAGATGGCCAGAGGGCTTCACGCAGGGGAATTAAATAGATGGGGATGTGCCCTTCAGGTGGAGCAATTTATCACATGGCTGGAAACAAGCCTAGAGCTCCCGATACCTGGGCTTTACGTAACAAACCTGGAAGCCCCAAAGTGTGAAATCCCAGCATATGTCAGTCACTGTGAGTGCCACACTGGGAGCACCTCAGGGCCCTTCTCATGGCCCCTATCAGATGCCTGTGATCACACTGGTTGGGACTGTGGACCCACATGCAATCCAAAATGGAGAGGGGTCCTCCCTCCCCCTGTCTGGAGACCTCATTTGATGACTTGGGAGCTGTGACCCTTTGTGCTATCACCTCCTGGCCCTCTTGCTCTTGAAATGTGCTTAAGAGGGGTGATTATTTTAGTTTGGTTGGGGGTGAGGGGAGGAAGTAAAAGTGAGGTTTTCAAAAAACTTATTAAGAACAGAAAGGACTTGTGGACGTTTCTATAAAGAGGGAAGAGGAAATAGAGATGGAAAAATTGAAAGTACTAGAGCAATTATGGAATGTAGTCATGCTCAGAGTTTGAAGTTCAGCTTTGTCACTTCACTGGCTACGTGACTCTGGAAGACACTTGACCTTTCTGACCTTGCTTCCACATGCAGTCTTGTGGGATTAGAAGTACCCACTCATTTCTGGTACATTAATGCCTGGAACATTCTGGGACACTCCCCCTTTCCTACATTTAACAAGTGTCCAGCGAGACTGGACCCAGTTATTCTACTGTGTGCCTGGCATATTCTAGGCCGAGATGCCTACACCTCCATTCACCCAGTCGCACAAGCCAAAACTTCTGCACTTGCCCTTGACACCTCTTTCTACCGCATGCGACATCTGCTTGCCTTTCCACCACCTCTACATTCCCATCCTGGTCTGAGCCATCCTCTCTCTTACCTGGTAACTGCAGCAGCCTCCGAACAGCTCTTCCTGCTTCTGTCCCATGGCTGCCATCCCGAGGACATGAAGCCCAACAGGACCTGCATTCTCCGCCTTCGCTACGCTCACCCAGTTTTCATGCCCACCCCACTCCAGGCGCACTGCTCAGCTTGCCGATTCCTCTCTGAATGTTCTTGTTCCATACAGTGCACACAGCTAACCCCCACCTCCTTTAAGAATGCTGAGCCACCTACCAACTAAGCCACATTACTGCCACCAATACTCTGCCCTGCTGATCCCCATACTCTGCTCAACACTACATCTCCTTCTGATGTGCCCCATCATTTACTTATTATGTTAGCTGTTTGCTGTCTGTCTCCCCTGCAGGGATCTTTGTTCTGTTCACTGACACATACCAAACTTCTGGAACTGTGCCTGGCACGGAATAGCTGCTCACTCTCAGTGAATGTTTCTGGAATATAACAAAGTGTCATTTTCAATTCTTTCCCTGGCTGCCTCCAGTATGTTCTGTCACTACCCCTTCTCCGGAGCTTCCCCATGGATCTCCGTGAAGGTGGTTCCCTCACCTTGGTTTAAGAAACCTGTAATGATTTTAAAGAACATGCATGTACTTTACACGAATGTCTGCCAATTGCTGTGCTCAATGTCCTTTAGTTCACTTTCAACCCCGAGACCCTAATAGAGGACTGAGGTCCAGCACCCATGTGAAGGACTCTTGGGTGGCAGCTGAGTTCTGCAGCAGATGGGCCCCTGGCAGACACACTACACACTTGTGCTAAGGGTCTGAATAACTGCCACTCCCATTTGGCTCTGCAGTAGATAGCATTTTACGATCACAGTTATGTGCACAGGGTATTTTAATGAAAGCCTCTCTCTCTAATGTTATATATCACTAAGCCTTGTCAAACAAACAGAAAAGAAGAGCGATGTTAAGCTCCTGCTACACATGTGCTCCTTGGCACTCTCAAGCTGGGCAATCCATTTGCGGGAACCATCACACTAAATTACCACCATTAACCATTTTTTCTCAACACTATCCCTACTATTTTAATGAACACCAGAAACAGGGCTTGTTAAACATTCACAAAAAAATGTCCCTGTGGTTGTACTATAATCATGGTATTTCCTGATTCCTAGATATATATTTGTTCTTATTTTAACATCTTAAATGAGAATGTATCTTACCACTGATAGTGTCTTATGGTTAAGATGGCAGCTTTTTTTTTTTTTCTTAGAAGTAACTGATTTAATGGTGTGTCTTAAAACTGAAGGCATTTTCCATTGACTAAAATTTGGTTTAGCCTCTGATTCTGGAGACTAACTCTAAAGAACACGGATAACCACACATGGTGCTGAATTTTCAAAAGAGGTCAAGTTCCACACATCATGGAAAGCCAACCTTCAGCTTCTTAGAGATAACACGCCAATCAGCCCCAACTCCCATTTTCATCAATTGAAATATCAAGAGAAATGCCATGGTCTACTAAACAGAAAGCATGAAAAGTGAGCATTTATAACTTTATCTTGAGATTTTGGGACCCAGTGAATAAGCCAATTAACCCCAATTTCTTCCCTGTAAAACAGAGATAATGAGGGATGGAAATTTATAGCTCCAAGCTCCTCAGTGATACAGGATCTGCAGCATGGGCTGTGGAAAGGCACAGGACCAGAAGCGGGGAGACCTCTGGGTCAGCCTTTACCCCCAGCTGTGGGGCCTTGCACCTGTCAGTGCCTGCTCCTTGGGGTCACTGCTTTGCATGTAAAGTGGGGGACAAAGGACAGGTTACCTTCCAGCTCATGGCTTACGTAGTTCCCTGGCTTAAGTGTATTTCTACTGATGTGTTTTGTGCTCTGTTACACAAACAGAAAAAGAACTACAACTCCCCCAAGAGAGAAGAGAGAACTACTGAAGACTCAGGGGCAGTGAGCCTGATCCCCTGTGACTTCTCTTATCTACTCTGCTTCTAAAAGAAGCAGTAGGAAGAAAGCCAGGGCTGGTTCTAATGGCATTTTAAAATAAAGCAAGATAAAACACATGTCTTTAGAAAATAGAATATTTAACCTTCTTACTCAGCAATTTTAAATATCTATGGTGTGCCAGGGCCGGCATACCCCAAACCACTGGTACCCAGTCCCTGTATCAAAAGAGCTCACTAAGCTGAATACAGAATCTGAGTCAAAGTGATAACAGTTAATAAAGGCACAAAGACCAGTAAGGAGCATGGCTTAATGAAAGGAATATATATTCTCTCTGTTTTCAATGAGGTAACCAGTAAAGCTACTTTCTTTTTGAGCAAGGTGAAATGAAGAAATAAAGCAATTCCAAGATCTCCTGTTTATGTCGAATTCTAATCCAGCAAATGCTGGAATATTCCAGAACCTTATTAGAATACAATTGTACTACTGTTAGGTACATTTCTCCTCTACTCCCTTATTAGAACTTGAGCACATTAGTCTAAAGTCTCCTAAGCTAGAAACCTTGCTGTCCTTTAACTCCCCTCCTACTAGCCTTATGCCATGCTTCAAGTAATTTAACCATCAGTTTTACCCAAGTAATGCCCCCAGAATCCTTCTTCACACCTCTAGTTCCTTTCAACTTCACACAACTCTAAGAGTCTCCTAGCTAGTGTCCAATGTTCAACTAAGAGTAAACCTTATAAAAGTCCCATCTGATCATATCACTCTTTCTTGCTTAAAAACATCCTTTGGCTCCCTACTGCTCTTTGGAAATAAAGTCCAAATCCCTTGGTGCAGCACAGAAAACCTTTCAAAATATGGCTTCATCTCCTTGACCTCCCTCCCACCCAATGCTCACCTTGTCACTGCCCAAGCCTACTATTCTTTCCTGTCTGTCCAAGTGCTATTCCTTCTCAAGAACACCCTTTTCCTCTTGCCAACTTCTCAAACTCTTACTTCATTCTGTTAGTCCCAGAAAAATAGCAACTTCCAGCACAGTCTTTTCTGCAACCTGCCCTGGACATGCAGGGAATCCCCAGAGCTTCTGGTGCAGGACTCTGTGGTGGCCCTTACCATGGGGTTCCAGTTTATGGCGCAAAGTAGGCATGCAGATGTTTGCTGATTAAGTGAAAATATTTCTTTAAGGGTAATAGTAACCTCTGCAAAAAGAATATTCATTTCTGGAAATTGTTGGATTTATAAATCAGAAACATCATTGGAAAATGTTAAAATGAGCTACTCTTCCTCTCTCCTGTTTTGTTTTCTGCCACAGAGGATGCAGTACTTCTGTTTTTACCTCTTCAGGAAACACCTCTTGCTCTTTTGCTTGAAGATAGATCTCTTGAAGTTTTTCCTTTAGTAATTCCATTTCTATTTCATTTACTTGGCTTTCACTCAGGTAAACTCCTGTATCACATTCATATCCATCTAGCTGATCTTCCTCAGGGACGTGGACAGCCCAGTCAGATGTCAACAGCTGTTGGATGACGGAACAGATATAAGAGCTGATTGAATGAAAAAGATATGCCATTGGATTATTCAAAGAATGCATAACCAAACATCATTAGCTGCCTCTATTTTAATAGCATATTCTGACCACAGAAAAGCTCCTCAGACCAGCACAATTCCATATTTCCTATCAACCTTTTTCCTCCGCTTACATTCTAAAATTTTGTTTACATCTTATAAACCTCAAATTCTAAATGGGTAGTTATGGTTGTTTTATCCCCTTAGTCTTTTTTTAAAAAAACATTTTAAAAGGACAGGCTTATTGGGAAAAGGAGAAAGAAAAAGAGAGGCACCTGCATAGTCACAGGCAGGCAGGAGAGTTGGTCCCCTTAGTTCCTGATGCCAGAACTATTATGTATGGTTTTTACCTCTTCTACTCTGGAGTATACTGCCACAATCTCTGGGATATTCTTGAATTCATTCAGAAAATTCTGGATCTTCACCTGAAAATCTTGAAGCCAGGTAGAAGATACTTTCATATCTGAAGAGTGCATGATTTCATTACGACACTTAATCACCTACAGAAAGACAAAAAAAAAAAAACAAAATGAAAGCCTTCAGAATCAAACAATGGGGTAAATAGATTTTGTAATGCCAAAGAAAAATTACAGAAAGGCTTTACTAATTACAAAATCCAGAAGTGTGGCCTGTAGGTGGCATCAAGGCTTCAGGAGATATTCAACCCTTGTCACTTGAAAATAAATTAACTGGGATAAGAAATACAAACAAGCCTACAATTATTGTTCACCCTTGAGATCTTGTGACTGGCTGGGTATCTCTTACCGCCTCTCCACCCCCTCCCCCAAGTCCCTTAAAACCACCTGCCAAAGAGCAAGAGTATTGGCCACTGGCTCTGGATAGACCCAAAGGCTGAAGCAGGCAATGCAAAAAACCCTTTAAATAGTGTTGCAGTTTCAGGAAGCTAGGCCAAGGAAGTTTTCTGATGCAAAAACCATTATAGAAAAAAAATCAAGTTTTTCCCCACATTTTCAGACAGAGGGCGCTGTGGGATCATATATTAATGTGTACTTCACATACACAAAAGATATTACAGGGGTTAACTTTGTGCTGAGTTGTCTGCTGATGTCACAAAGAAGTCTCAGTTTCTGCTGCAGGCATGCTAGCAAAATATACATGCATTTTCCTCTACATATTATAAATTATCCAGAAATGCTATATATTCTTTTCAGTGACCCTTTAATAAATGTGCCAGAGCTGTACTCTGGTGAAACAGAGCAAGTCTAAATCTCCTACAGGAAATTTGACATTGTTTATCCATTAGTGTTTATGTTTTCTTCTGTTCTAGTAATTTGGTCTTCAACTGCTTAGCCAATGAGATTTATTAACAGAAGGGCAAGATTCAATGCTGGTATACAAAGAACAGAGTGATGGCTTTCTCTACATTTTTTTCTGCTGTTTTTTTTTAATGTATATATGGAAAATCGCTTTGCTTCTGTTTATAGCAGAACAGGGAGGATAAATATGAGGTTCATCTATTAAGCAGCCAACAGCACATTAGCACTGTTGTTGAGAAACTTCGATTAGAGAAAATTGAAGGGTCAGTCTGCTGACCGCAATCACATGGAGGCTCTTGGACATCACAAAGGGGCGTGTGAAATGAGCCTCACGAGCCTGCTTAGTGATGCCAACTTTCAAGGACAGTCTTTCTTTGCACATTACTCTTTTAGGGAGAGATAGTGGGCTACATCTGCAAGGCTGCTTTAGCATCACAGGGTGTATTTCTTGACTGGTCTTCATAGTACCCTCCCAACTCTTGTGGTATGGTTTCAAATGTGACAGCTCTTACCTCTGTGACTTTCTTCCGGTCAATCTTGAAGTGATCACAGGAGTTGATGAGACTTAAAAGAGCAACTGCATCACACTCCTCGGGTCCTGCTTTGTCCGCCTGTCCTCGGGGCATGAAGGCCTGGAGAAGGGGAGGCATGAGGGGCACCTGAATCTCCTTCGAGACTCGCAGGGCAATTTGTTACTGCCCATTTCCCAGATGAAGGCTGAAATGCTTACTGAGATTTCAAGTGAGTAGAGCCTCACGAGTCCAGATCACAAGCCAGGAAAACAGGTTGTCAGCTAAGCCTCAGCCAAGGGCAGTAATGAAAGGCTGTAACTACCTGTCCCTCTGCTACCAGAAACACGTGCGTGCTGAACATAACTGGTTTTGTGCTCTCTGAATGGCACATAAGCAGGAAACATGGATGGAAAGCTCCTTTTTTCTTTTCCTTACTGAAATTTCAGTGGCTGAGTTGTTAAAGATTTAAAACTACTAGTTACTCTAAAGTGGACATTACAAATGACTTGGGAAAGCTTAGTATAATAGTATAAAGTTAAACAGTCTGGGCTTTGGAGTATAACAGAACTGGGTTCAAATCCCGGTTCTGCCACTTGCCAACTGTGTGCCCTTAGGCAAGTAACTTATCCTCACATGCCTCATCAGTAAGCTGAGGATAACTGTCCTCATCTACCTTAAAGGTTGTTGAGAATTAAATGAGTTAATGCAGGTAAAGCATTTGCATGATGGTTTACACATACTAATAAACAAGCCACAAAAGTTTGCAACTTGCAACTATTATTTGATTTGCAATATGAGTAGGCCTGACAGAAGAGTAACAAATGTAGGACTAGGGCTTAAGATACTAGATATACACCAGAAGGGCCTGTTTTAGCCTGATCTTGCGTTTTATAGGATTTTATGGCAAGGGCCCCCAAAATGGTGTTAAGGCAAGGTTTGGGCCTATTTTCTGAAATATTTCCAAATTTACATCTGCATGCAACAACTTTCCTAAGTTAGGAAGCTAAGAGTACATTGCTGCCAAGGGAATAGAAAAGATGACATATGAATATTTACTTTAAATAAAGAAGCTTGTTCCCTTGAAAACAAACACATTTCAGTAAGCAACTACAACCCCCCCCCCCCCCCACAGTGCTGCTTGAAACAGTATTCCTGAAAGGGCTTGTGGTAAGTTTCCACATGCCCCAAGGAGAGTTGGGGTAATGTTCTTTACAGAGTGGAATCACACACCCGAGTCTCCTATAATTAAGAAGGACTTTGTGTGCATAGAATGGCCCTATCAAAAGATACAGTAGCCAGTACCGCCACTGTCTTTTTCTCTCTTAACAGCCATTGACATGCCCATGCTCTGAAATAAGTCTATTATGGATGCTACACACACTAACAAAGAAGTTAACTGACGTAGCATAGGCAAACTAATGCAATGAAATAGAAGAAAATAAATTGCTTACTTTAGCTGTCGCTGAGAGGAAAATCCAGAGGGTCTCAGCCACCTCAAAGTCAGGCATAATTTTTCTTTTCCAGTATTAAGGCATGTCCTGTCTGGCATTTTCTCACCAACATAAACCTGCCTCTTCCACGTTAAAGTTTTATTCTAGTAATCATTGCCTTCTTTCAGAACCAGAAGCCGACAGGGAAGCTCTGCTGCCTTTTTGCCACTGACAGCAGCCTTGCAAAACTGTCTGGCATACCACGTGTCCCGCATGATTGCCTCTCACTACCCTCGACTGTTTCTTCATTGAGTAGCAGAAAATGAGGTTGGAGAATAAACAGAGGCCAGATCATGCTGGGCTCAGTGGCCGTGGAAAGGAGTTTGGAGTTTGTTCTGAGGACATCAGGAAGCCATCCATGAGTTTTAGGCAAGGGAAGACAGCGATGCAATTCCCACTTGAAGACCACACTTCCTGCTGTGTGGGAAACCGAGGAGAGGTGAGCAGGGTCGCAGAGGTGGCCAGGAGGAGGCCAGGCAGGAGAGAGCAAGAGCTGTGGCTCGAGATGCAGAGAACATACATTCCAAAAATATCTTGCAGGTACAAATGAAGAGGGGAGGAAGAGAGCAACAAGAATGACTGTAGGTAGCTGGTGGTGCCACAGACATAGGTGTGAGAAGCAGATATGAAGAGTCTGTCTTGAGAAGTCAACGCAACATGCACGGGGGGTAAGGCAGAAGAGGGGTCAAGCCAGCAGCTGGATATGGGCCAGGCATGGGGAACTCAAAAGAGGGCAGGCGTAAAGGCAGCATTTAATATTGACCTCCACAGACCAAGGCAATATTACTAGAGGAAAAGAGAGGTCCGGACAGAAGAGGCCTGAGGAAGGCCAAAGACTCTCCACTTAGGAGGAGGCTGAGGAGGAGGGGCTGGGAAAGTAGGAGACCCAGGAGAGAATGGTGCCACAGAGCATCAAGAAGAGTGTCATGGGCCTCCCCGGTGGCGCAGCGGTTGAGCGCTGGGTTGCGAAGCTGCCCGCAGGCTCTGCAGCGCCGGTTCGATCCCCGGCTGCTCCCCGGCCACCGGAGGAGGGTCCCACAGGGCGCGCAGACCTCTCCCGCCGCCCGCTGCTCCCCTCAGCTGTGTGCTTCGGTCCTTCTGCCTGCTCTGCTCCCCGCTCTGGCTCTGGTGAATTCTCTCACCCTCCCACGCTTCTGACTGTACCCAGTGCTTGTATAAATAAATAAATAAATCTTAAAAATAAAAAAAAAAAGTGTCAGCAGCACTGGATGTCAGAGAGGTGAGAAAAGCGAGCAAAAGAGGACTGAAGGTCACACGCGCCCCTGACAAGAGGCAGTGGAGTGGCAGGGGCAGAGGTCAGGGTGGAGTGGGGCGAAGAGTCTGTGGGAGCTGAGAAAAAGAGAATAGGCATAAAACCTCTGTGAGAAGTGTTACTGGGTAGGCTCATGGGAGACAGAGAAATGGAGAGATAACTTAAAGGTGCAGGTCAAGGAAGGTTTTTTTTTTTTTTTAATTTTACTGTCCAAGTAGTTGTTCAAATGTTTAGAAAGCTTTATTGAGATATAATTCACATGTCATATAAGGATATCAGCATGGTGACTAAAGTTAATAATACCGTGTTGTATATTTGATAGTTGCTAAGAGAGTAGATCTTAAGTTCTCATCACAAGGAAAAGTTTTGTTAATTATGTATGATGACAGGTATTAACCAGATTTACTGTAGTGGTCATTTCACAAAATAGACAAATATTAAATTATGATGCTGTACATATGAAACTAAAATACTGTTCTGTCAATTATACCTTAATAACAAATTAGGTGTGCAGTTCAGTGATTTTTTTGTATATTCAGAGTTGTATATCTGTCACCACATTTGACTTACTATTTTCATCACCCCAAAAAGAAGGTCTCTAGGCATTGGCAAGCAAAGGCCTAGGCAACCACTAATCTACTTTCTGTCTCCATTGATTTGCCTATTCTGGACATGTCATATAAATGGAGTCCTATTACTGGCTTCGTTCACTTAGCATGTTTTCAGGGTTCATTCAGTGTTGTAGCATGTATGGGAACTGCACTCCTTCTCGCGGCTGAATAATATTCCATTGCTGGATAGACTATGTTTTGTTCATCCATTCACCAGCTGATGGACATTTCTTATTTCCAACTTCCAGTTATCATGAGTAGTGCTGCTGCATTCATTCTTGCACAGTTTTTTGTGGATGTATATTTTCATTCTATAGAACTATTTTTTCAAATAGTTACTGTTAAATTTTTTGTTTCTTAGAAAAAAAAATTAAACCAAGGCCATATTCAAGCTATTTGTATGGTGATGGGAATAAGCTAGAGGGAAGCAGAGTGGCCAATTGAAGACTCAAAGTCTTTGGGTAGGTGGGAAGGGATAAGGTCGAACATGTAAGTGGAGGGGTAGGGTATGAAGAAGAGATGTGCTTTTCCTTCTTTGCAGCAGAAAGAAGACAATGATGCACATGGAGGTAGGTTGGTAAGTGTGGTAAAAAGAGGAGAAAGCATGTATGGGAGGTGCGGGGGTGTATCCATCAACTCCAGGAGACATGAGCAGAGTTAGCAGCTGGAAATGAGGCAGAGAAATGGAAGTAGGAACTTGGTAGGGAAAGGCAGCAACAGGAGCAGGCGCCCACGGAGACAAGGCCAGACTGCTGGGGCTCCCAGTCAAGAATTGAAAGTGAAACCAGTTAGCTCCCTTAGAAGATTCTTCCCCTGAGCAGAAGGAGATGATAGTGTTGTTGGGGCTGGGGTGGGGCCAGGCAAGTTCAAAGAACAGAGGAAAAAGGAAGATGGTGTTGGAGAGAGTAAAAACAAGGGAACAGAAGGCCTGCAAGTGCCAGCAATGAAAAGTAGCATAAATAGGCGACATGGGCTCCAAGAGGCTTCCGAGGTTATGAAAAGTGGTGACAGACCACAAGGGAGGGGCAGCCACAGTAAAGGGGAGAGTTTAAGTTTCTTTCTCTTTTAGGTGAAAGCAGAAACTGGCAATTCTATTGTGACAGCAAAAGTAAAAATGGGGAAGAGGGTGTGGTGTGGCGGGTTTACTGGTCCATTACAGCCAAAAGTCTGGGGGGCATGAAAGATACCAACTTCCTCGTTGCTGAGGTTAGGGAACAGAGGCTGGTCCAATTTCACAACACAGCAGCTGAGCTAGGACTCTGTCCCCTGCTTCCCAAGCACTGTGCCTGCTACTAACTAGTATGTAGACTGACTCCAAACAGTATTTGTACCAGGAGGCCACTCTGACTGCCCCTCTCCACCCCCTGAGGGCTTCTGGCAAAAATCAAAGTGAAAAAAAAAAAAAACAAACCCAATCTGCCCACCATGTAAGTTACATTGCCAAGTTTTGAAAACAGTCTAACAGTTTCCCATGTGGCTACCTACTCCATCAATATCTCCCCAACATATTATTATTTAGCTGGATTTCTTGAGGTCCTTTCTATCTTGCTCTAACTTCCCTTGGATTACCTCGCCATCCTCCTGGCACTCTACAGCCATAATGAACTACCTAAGGAGTCTACCCTCAAGAATACCTTACCTGGGGGGGGTGAAAAGGGTAAAGGGGGTCAAGATGCTGGTGATCCATAGAAAGTGGAATTTGGGTGCTGATCATGATGTAGAGTAGAGTGTACAGATCTCAAAGTGTAATGCTGCACACCTGAAACCTAATTCTGTAAGTCAATACTAGTTCAATAAAAATTCATTGGACACAAAACAAAATCATTCCATGTTTCTCCCGTTGTGCCTGTGACTGTGATGCTCGCTGTAAATCTTGCCCCAGCATCTCCAGTTGAAATCTTTGCAAGCAGGAGCAAACTCAAATGCCTTCAGGAGATAAACAAGCAGGAAAAAAAGCCCCTATTTCATTAAGCTGGGTGGGTTCCAATATCACAGCCCTCAACCTCCCAGACCCTAGAGCCCTGAGGCCTGGGCTTCCACATAGGCCGAAGCTCCAGATCGCCTCTACCTGCTGGGGTCGTCCTACCCTCCCGTCCACAGGTGCTTACCTTGGCCACCTCCCAGGCGTCCACGGGCCAGCGGCCTGGCCGGCAGTTTCCCCAGTGGACATCTCCATTTCTGTTGGTGTGATGTTTCAAAATCTCCCGTTTCCACTCTGAACACACCTGACACTGAGGCTGAAACTACAGGGGGCGGCGGTGAGAAGGTGCCGGGGCGGAAGGGAGGGGCGGACAGTCCGGACAGCGGAGCCCTGGGCATGCGATCGGCCCCGTTCAGGGGAGGACACGGGACACTGAGCTGGGAGATGAGGACCGGGGTGGGTATGGGGTGGAGGGCGGTGGTCAATGCGCCCGCCCAGGTGCTCACCTGGCGGGCGCGCGGGCTGCACCGCGAGAGGCTGCTGCAGGCGGCACGGGGGCCCAGGCCCGGGACAGCGGCGAGAAGGCCCCGGTGGAAGGCGAGGACCTCGCGGCCGACGAAGCCCTGCAGGCAGCCGCGCAGCAGCAGCAGGCAGTGGCCCGCCTTCACCCAGTTCTTGTACTCAGCGCAGTTGAGGCGCGCTGCCAGCTCAGACAGCACCATTTCGCGCTCGGGCCGCGGGGCGGGGCGGACGGCAGCGCGCAGGCGCGGAAGCCTGAAAGTTCCCAGCGTCGCCGCCGTCAGCGCGCCCCGCCCAGAGACCGCCCCCAACGCGCGGGGCGTGGGCAGCAGAGAGCTCCGCGCGGTCCCTGGTTCCCAGGGCGAGGCCTTCTGACTTCCGGGGCACGTCGGCCCCTCCCGTCTTACGTGACAGCCGACGCGTAAGAACTTTGGTCACTCCAGAAAGCCGCTACCTGAAACCTCTCTCTTCTCTGTTCCCTTAAACTGAGTCCCACCCCCACCCTCCAGTCCCCGACTGGACTCCCACTGCACGTCCGTGCTGGTTCGGCTCACGTTATTGTAGAGATGAAGAAAGTGCTAGTGCACACTTCTTGAATTACTTATGCTCCTTGCCTTACACAGTTCTAGAAACTTACTTAACTGGTTCCTAAGTCCACAGATTGGCTGTAGCAAATTAGGTTATTTGTGAAATGTGACCCATGATTGCCTGTACTGCGAATCTATGATGCACCTACTGTGTGCCAAGGTGACACAAAGCTGAAAAACAGCCAGCACTAAGCCAGAGAACGGCTTCTTTCTGATCCTGAAACATCTAGCTTATATTACTTAGTAGTCTTGGTCATGTGATAACGAGGGCAAACTAAACATGAAGCCGTCCCCTGACTGTGAATCGCAGAAAAGTGGCATAGGCTTAGAAGCACTCTTTCTAATCTGAAATGACCCCTTCTTTGTTTCATCTTAAGCAGACTTTATTTGGTGTCGACAATTTATTTACTTAATTTCTCTGGGCCTTAGTTTACCCATCTGTAAAAGGATATTAACACTTACCTACTGGGTTGTTGTATTAAATACACACTGAAATACTTAAAACAGTGCCTGGCAGTGTAAGTTCTCAGAAAGTATTAGCTATTATTTTATATTGACCTAAATGTGCCTTTCATCAACCTGTCATATCCGTGGGCAAGGTATTGTACCAAACCACTGGCTATTTGGAAGCAGAGGCAATTTACAGAAAGTTGTGAGTAGATCATGGTCTCCAGGAGTTGGGCAGTACATTGTTGGCCGGCCTCTGCTTTCTCTTAGTAACTTCAATACTAAATTTGTGCTAAGTAAATTTCCTATCATTCCCTTAATCCATTCCCATCAAACCAAATGAAAATGAAAATTACTCAAAACAAATGAGCTATCCATTTTTCCCCTTACTGTCCCTTAAGTCTCTTGAAAGTTCTCTTTAAAATTTCTGTACATTGATTTTTTATATCAGGAAGACTTAGATGATGATAAATATTAGAGTAAAATGTAACAGGTATTACTTGTGGGGAATATTATGAAAGAAATGAATACATTCTATGTTGAAATGGGATCTGAATTTAAAGTAACAAAATTATGGTTCTTTATTAACTTAACCATTGTCCATTCATTAGTATCCTATGGCTGAACAGGTTACCGTGATAAATGCCAAAGTTTTTAGTGGTATTAAAATTCACTGTCATGTATATTTTAGTTCAGGCTTGCACTGAGTTCACTCAGTTATTTTTCGTATGTAAGGTTCAGCCTCTGTTATTAAGCTTGACATGGTCTGTTGAAGTTTTTGCTTCTTCCTAATTTTCTAAAGTACTTCTATATATTCTAAAACAGCATTTCAGCAAATGGAAAAAAAGGTGGCATATCAGGACCAATTCTTCTTTCAATATTAAACTAATACTAAGCTAGGGCCTCCCTGGTGGCGCAGCGGTTGAACGCTGGGTTGCGAAGCTGCCCGCAGCCTCTGCAGCGCTGGTTCAATCCCCGGCTGCTCCCCAGCCACTGGAGGAGGGTCCCACATGGAGCGCAGACCTCTCCTGCCGCCCGCTGCTCCCCTCAGCAGTGTACTTCGCTCCTTCTGCCTGCTCTGCTCCCCGCTCTGGCTCTGGTGAATTCTCTCACCTTCCCGCACTTCTGACTGTACCCAGTGCTTGTATAAAATAAATAAATAAAAATAAATCTTTAAAAAAAAACAAAAAAAAAATAAACTAATACTAAGCTAGACTACGAAAAATCTAAAACATCTTCATGAAAATTAACTAGAGAGTTGGTAGTTCTCTGAAACTTGTATAAATTTTATTTATCACTTAAATTACTAAAATCACATTGAAAACACCTTAAAGTTAAGACCCAAACCACCTATTAGGAAAAATCACTATGGGCATCCAGTCCCTTTGATTGAACCTGGGTAATTAAAGGTTAACAAAAGAGGCAAAAGACATGGTTTGTGATGAAACCTAGGATTCAAATACTAGTTTTTTCAAGCTTTAATAAAGTATATACCAATTCCAAGTACCAAGCATGATATCAAAATTCAAAATCACGGGTTTACTCTTAATGAGCATCAAAAGCAAATCCTGTGTATTGAATCCTACATTATTTTTGATTTGTACAATGCATTCAGAGACAAGTCATAATTAGGGGGAAAAAATGCTCACTGAATGCATCATGTTTAAAAAGGCAACTGACATTTCAAAACCACACTTAAAAGGGAAAATGCTGGAAAGTTATTTCTATCAATAAATTTGAGACATTATCCTACAGATAAAAAATACATTTCTTGTATAGACATGTAGATTTCTACATGAAAGAAAGGATTCAGTTTCAAATAGAAAAGGGCTGGCCCTTGAACAAGACATCTTAGATTGCCAAACTGATGTGATTACCACTGGAAGGAGAACTGAAACGGACAAAAGGTAAGTTAAGGAAACGATAAAAGTTTAGCTACCTGCTCCTGAATGGTGGCAGAGTTGGGCGAGAAGCAGGAGATGAAGGCAGAAATAAGACACAGAAGGGCAAAGAAGGCCTCAACTCTGACCAGAAAGATACGGAGAATCAAGCAAAGTAGAGAACAGATGATACAGCGGCAGCTAGATGCTTGAAACTAGAATTTGGCAGTTGATAGTTACAGAAGCTCAAATCACCTCAAAATGGAATTAGACAAAGCATCTAAAATTTAATGGAGAACCTGTATTACTGTGACCAGATATTCAGCATGGTATTAGCATTTAAAAAACTTTCCCAAATAATCAAGTCATCAGAAGATCTTCATAGACTTTGAAGCTTAAAAAAAGTCCCTGACTGACTAGGAGAGACACAAATGAATGCTCCAAAAAGAAACCCTGCTGCAATGTGTCAGTATCAGAGATTCCACTTGATCCTGGGCAGACCCTGGATCTTGGATTCTTCAAAGTGAGGGACTGCACCAGACTTCCTCCAAGCAAAATATTTCATCATTTTGTTGACAATGAATTAAACTGGGATTGCTTAAAACAATCCCAATTTTGGTGGGGAAAGTAAGGGAGGAAAGTTAAACAAGATAAAGAAACATCACAGAAATTTCACGCAAGGGTAGAATGTATTCAAGTTCTAGTTTCCTAATTAATGCTGTATGTATAAGTATACTTAAACTAAATTTGCCTAACAAAAAGTTCCCACATCCTCAACAGATGAGAATGATTGCAGTATCTGGGATCCTTGATCCATGAGCTAGTTTACTGTTTCTTCTCAAAGACTGGATTCTTTTATTTTACTCAAATCCTATACTGAAAGACAACCAAGGTGCTAGATGTTAATCACCAGTCAAGTTAGGAATGTTTGAAGAAAATGAATTAAGCTTGAAATAAAAAAGTAGACGTTCTGGTCAAATTTCAGACACGTATCATTAGAAATTAATTACTGGCCCCACCAGATTAAAGATGAAGGGAGGCCCTGAGAAGTCTATAAAGCTGATATACACACAAGTGAGTGTCACTGTTTGTTTGTTTGCTTTTAACCTAGTTTTATTAAATATTGCTTCTTTGGGATGTGTTTATAACAACTCCCAAAACATTTTCATGTAAGGTTTCAAAGCGATCATATTAAAATACAGCTTCAATATAAAGTTTATCACAGTTTTACAGTATTCAAAAATGACAGACCTGCCTTAAAAAACAAAACAAAAACCAAAAAAGGACTATTACACCCAAAAACATAAGAAAACAATTAAATAAACAAGTTTGGCATTTCCATAACTTTATAGTATAAAACAGAATATTAAATCTATTACTGGCAAGCGGACACTGATGTATTACCTAGATTGAAAGGTGTCCCATTTAAACACACTATACAAGTTCACTATACAAAAGATTGATGGTCTTTTTGATGAAAGAAGTGCACCCTGAAAAATTTTGCCAGTTTAGAATATTTAGCTCTTAAAGTCAAAAAAAGTCCTTTTTTTCTTTTTTAAACTGAAGGCTGAATTCAGTTTTGTTTTGTTTTTTTTTTTTTGTTGTTTTGTCTCATTTGTCAGCCTTCCTGGTTTAAAAACAATAGTGTCTATGGACGCCCACCAGGGGGCAGTGTAAGATTAGCCATTAAATCACGAACAGCTGCAAATATTGTGCATTCACCTGCAACAGAGAAAAATGGTCATTAGCCATTCGCAATACAGGAAAGATGATGTTAACACACCGGTGGGGGTAGGGGTAATTAAATCTAAAACTAGCAAGAACTTTAAAGATCAAAATAAATGACTAAATTTTAAATGTACAGGTTATAGGGGATGAAGCTTTAGTTTTAAGTATTAAGATAACATTTGGTTTGGGTTTTGTTTTTTCCTCATGAGGAAATTTTGAGCAAGTCCCGGTTAGGTTTGAATTTAAGAAGATATGCCTGGAGTTTCTCTACAGAAACACTGGAGCACTGGATAAGCTTTGAAGTTGGGCTTCAAGGCTACTGATAGCTGTTTTATGCATTTTGAATCTAATAAAAAGATCTAATTTATATGTAACATCAATGGTGTCCTCAAATTGCATGAAAGGGTCAGATTAAAAGGTCTATGACAATACTGTCCAATAGAACTTTCTGTGATGAGAGATAGTCTATATGTGCACTGTAGCTAAGCGGTACACTTGTTATGTAGCTCATGTGACTAAGGAACTGATTTCTAAATTTTAATTACCTTATTAGATTTATATAATCACATGTGGCTAATAAGCGTTATATTGGACAGCACAGTACTATATCATCTACTGAGGTTTTCTCCCCAAATTTCAAGGAAATAGTCAACTTCTGGAGTTCAACATTAAAATTAATACAAAAAGTGATTTTTGTTAAAAGCACTTCCCTGGGGGGAGGAGGGAGGGGGAGTGATGGGTTCGGGAGGAAAGGAGGGAGACTGAAGCAGGCATACCGACAATCCAAAAACAAGGTTTGTTTGGGGAGAGGGGAACAGGCTAATGAGTCATCCTCTCGATGTGCTCAAAGAAACCAAATACCCTGCCTCTTCCTTCTTGTAAATATATTTCAATATAATAACCCCCCAAACAGTGGTAAATATTATTAAAAGCTAGATTCCTTCCCTTCAGCATGATCTAAAACTACATTGGCTGGGAGTGAGAGTGAAGATCTCAACTGAATAAGGACCTTCCAGTAAAGGGCAGGATGTACACTGACCCTGTGCACGTTACTGTGACTTTTTCTCCAACTGCTGTAAAATTCAAGTACAGAAAGAAAATGAAATCCAAAGGTTTAACCAGTCTGATGTAGAAATAAAAACACTTTTAAAATATCCCAACAATTTCTTAAATAAGTTGCAGTCTTTTTTTTTTTTTTTAAACACATTTTCGTTATTGGTAGGCAGAAAAACTTGCTTGATCCCAACAGGATCAAAACATTCTTTCCTTTTAATTTTAAATTCCCACAAGACACGATAATGGTGGTCATCTGCTTGTGAAGGAATGGTGCTTATTATCAGAGTTCTACTAGACCACAATTTTGAAAATTCTGATAGCTTTAAACTTTGAATCTTTAGGACCTATTTGTCGCTGAAAGAAGAGATAAGTCAAAGGATGAAAGCAGAAAATCGTAAGAAGTGGAAGAATTATTACAACAAAAGCAGCACACCCTTCTCTACTGCCCAGTGCATTCCTTATAAACTACACTTGAGAACTTGCCTGTGCATACAATATGGGGAAACAATAGCTAAAAACAGAACTTCTCCCATGATTCCTGTTTCCAGTAAAATGCTGACATGGTGTTATCTAAAATTGTTTCAGAGAACAACTTTCCCTCATTTAAAAACATAATTGTTATCTGTTATGCTGTATTAAATAGAAAGGTAGAGGACTTCCCTAATATTAGAAATAAGCAAAATTTTATTTAATATCCTTAATATTAGAAATAAGCAAAATGGAAGAAAAGTTCCCCTTGTCGAGCTTAATGTTTTGTAACCAAAAATTTAGCACTGCCAGGAGTTATGTGTAAATGAAGGCTACTACTCTATTGAAGGGGCCTTGTTTATCTGCCAGAAACAGTCTGGTTTCCTTGAAAATGTTCAGGTTGAGAGCTTCATTGTGCACTTGGCGAAAAGGTTCACTTGCACCCGCCTGACACTTACATAAGAAGCCCAAAAAGCAGTGATGCCATTTGTATCAGCTTTTATTCTTCACAAAACATTTAGAAGATACAGAACTTTGAATGATATTTTTCTATTCATGATTGAACCATGAAATATAAGAAACCAACATGCATTTCCACTTGGTGATATACAGAGTGGCAGGTATCAATGGTAGGGCAAGAATTCACAGCCATGGAAAATTCTATCATCCTAACCTAGGGCTTTGTGGCAATGTGTACTATAAATACAAGCTTCTGGCATTAGCAACTGGGTCAGTCTCAACAGTAAATCACTAACAAAATTAAAATCCAGGTAGCAGAGACATGGACAAAAATGAAGAACCAGTATGAGAAAGGAAGAAAGCGACAGGCAGACATTGAGGGCCATGGCCAACCAGAGCTCTATTACTAGGATTGGCGGGTATGGTGGGTCAGGAGGGGAGAGGGGAGAGGAACAATCTCTCACATAATAACTTTTACAACATATATGCAAGAAAATACCATCTACTGGTCATGTACCTTGTCGTGGTGGGTTCATCTCTGCAAATCTCTTCAGAATGTTGCTGACCATCATGGGAGCAGCAACAGAAGAGTTCTGCTGTCTGGGAATGTCTGCCTGCTGGGTTGTGCCTGAAGCCATGTCATAAATGATGGGAACTATAATACTAACAGGTTCTTGGGGAGGGACTGACGTTTTCTGAGTTAGTTGAAGCTGTAAACACACAAAGAGAATAAACACATAGTAAGAAAATAAAACATTTGTCTAAATTGATCAAAGGTACCATCATTTACTCTACTGTCAGAATAAGATACATCAAGCAAAAAAAATTAAATATGACAAGAAAAGTGACAAATTAACAACTGAACATTGTGATTAAGATGCAATGGTCACACAACTAAGTAGCTGAATAAATTTCTGTTATTCCTAAAGGAACCAGAATTACATGAAGTCTAAATTGGCAATTTAAGAATGTGGGCTTATATTTGGCAGCAACAGGTAACTTCGGCAGTTATCCAAAAGTTGCTCTATTAGCCTCACATGTCTTTTTCCTCAGAAGTTCTGCACACACACACGTTGGGGTGGTACTTACAAAAAATAGCATTTTGGATTTCAGCACCACAGCAGGCGTCCCAGGAGGTGCAATTGGCGGTGCGCTGGGAGGGATCGTTAAGCAGAACTGAACATTCCATTTAAGCTGTGTTGCCTGGTCAGGGAACTATTTTGGGGGGAAAAAAATCATGATAAACTCATATGAATGTTTATATTCTAGTATACCAATCTGAAAGGTTAGACAGAATTTTATTTTATACTCATTAGCAACAGAACAAAGTTGGTGACCTATACTTTTCTGAAGGATGTATATGCAAGTAGTTACCAACTGAAAAATCCACTCTAGGTTTAACATGCTCCTCTTCCTCCCCTCCCTCTTTAATTCCCAAGGCCTCCTCAGTGTCTCTGACATCTATTCCTTTTCCTTCCTCTCTTTTCACTGATGTCACCAAACTCAGGGCTTTATTACTTGTCTGTGGCCCCCTAATGGTCCCTTATAGTAGCTGCCTCTCTTGTCAGTCCATCTTTATATCACTACCAGACAAATGTCTTAGAGCATGGTCATACTCGCTCTCCCTCCAAACAAGGACCAACACCTGAAATTTAGGGGCTTTCTTAAGTGGTGCCAATCTAGGCCTCCCAGTCCCATTTCCAAGTTCTCCTCTAAAACAAACTAGTTAAACTGTGTTAATAAGTTACATCCACTGATGCTTTTTTAGCTACATATTTACTCCTTTAAAAACGCAAGTGGATTTCTTTTTGACAAAAACAATGTTTCCTATAGATCATCAGAGCAGAAGTCAAATGTTGAGACTATTAGCAAAGGAATATTGTTATTCCAATATTAGTAAGACACCAACTGAAAAAGGAGGCATTTGGAATTACCCCAAATAATACCAGAAATATTAAAGTGAAAGAACTATTGTAAGACTGGAAAAATACACTCAACTGCAACCTGGATTCCATCTATGTAATTGTATGCTTTCATAGGAAAGAAGAGTGAAAATCTTCCAGAGATGGCAGATTTTTCATAAATGGTTACTAGGGCAAGTGGGAACATGTGAAAAAGTTGAATCCATACTTCCCATTTGACACCAATATATTTAAAAGGGATCAACAATTCAAATAATTAAAAAATGAATCCTCAACAGCTTTGGAAGAAACTACGGGAAAATTATTTCATTACCTGGGAGTAGGAAAAGTATATTATACGTTATGCTTTTATAATAGGCAAGCCAGTGGCAATTCCGGCTGCCTTTGGGGAGAGGGACCAGATGACTTAGGGATGGATGGGAATTTTCCCTCTGTATCATCTCGGTATAAATTCAAAGATACAAGAGGACTGTGTTTCTTCTACAAAGACAAATAAAATTTAAATTAAAATTAAGAAAAAAATAGAGACACATGAATGGATGAAAACCAACAAACAGTGCTCCATTAACTCCAATCTCCTCAAACAGACCTTGCTATAAAAGTACGTTTCTCTGTAACTTACCAGCTCTAGCTTCATAATATGCACACAGTCCCTGAGGATGTGTGTAGGAGCTCCTAACAACTTGGTGAAGGCTATTAAAGTATTGGCTTTAAATGGCGGTCCTGCAACCTACAGGAATAAATAAATCAAGTTAGTCTTCTCTACCATGGCTCTTCTGTTTCATTGATTATATTAAAATTATGTATTAATAAATACATACTCTTGTTTCAAAGAATTTCTCTAAAACTTGAAGTTCATCAGGTTTCCACTGTCCTGCATTTTCAGGTGTCACTTTTAGCTGAAGTGTTTGGTTGGTTTTGGGACTAAGGGCTACTCTGCATTTCAGCGCATCAGTCTTAAACATGATCACTCCGGGTTCATTGGAATTTATCAATTGTAGCTGCAAGACAAGAAGGATGCATCAAACCAACATGAGACAACATCTAAGACAGAGAAAATGAAAACATTACCTAGAGAATTGTTTCAAAGGAAAACAACTATGTTGATAACTGTTCCAAAACAAAGGTATTGTTTGGTATCTAGTATTGAAAGGTATCTAGGCACTGAACACCAATAACTGCTAACAACATGGGAAAGAAAGGCAATCAAATATTATGTGTCTCTGAGTAGAAGAACCTAACATCACCTATGGTAGTCTTGCAAAACAACAAACTTGATCCTGAACTCAGTAGTCAGATCCATAAGACTAATCAATATTACATAATTGTGGGGGTCAAAGAGTAGGTTAATTGTTCCCATGAGATGCAACTAGAATGAGAGGTTCTCTATAAGGCAAACAACTTTGTTTCTTTGACAAATAAACCATGTAAGGAGAAATGGATGGGGAACCTATATCTTGAAAGGGATTAAAAAAATAAAAATTTATTTGGTTTCTGATTCAGAGCATAAAAACTGGGACAACTTGGGAAATGTGGATACCAACTAGGTACGTGATAGAAAAGAAACTGTATTTATGGAGGAAAAGCCTGGGATTTGCTGTCAAACAATGTAGGGGGAAGAGCTATAGATGAAACAGTATTTCATGAGTTCATTGTTGAAGATGAGTTACAAGAATATAGAGTTTGTTATACTATTTTCTCTACTTTTATATATGCTTAAAGTTTTCCACAATGAGATTTTTTTTTAAACTGGCACATTAGAAAAAAAGAAGAGGACAATTATAAAATGTTAAATTGTGATTGGTGCCTTATTGTGATTGGTGCCCAGTGATAAGCAAACTTGTTTTGTAAAGGGTTAGAGAATAATTATTTCAGGCTCTATGAGGTATATCCTCTCTATCACAACCACTCTATGACAGCACTGTAGCTGAAAGCAGCCGCAGACAATATGTAAATGAATAGGTGTGGCTGTGTTCCAGTGAAAGGTTTTTTAAGGTGTTTTTCTTTTTTTACAAAAACAAGTGGTAGGTAGGACTGGGCTGCTCTGGCCCACAGTTGACTGGATTCTAGCCTAACATGTTGATTAGGTAGATGAGCATAAGGAGGTTCAAAGAGCTGAAAGCTTACATGGTATGTAAGTGGTAGAGGTGAGGCTAGATCACAGGTTTGATGATTACCATTTTAAATACTAATTTAGTCAATTTATGTTAAATTTATTTTTTTCAAATATGAATATAAACTTTGCAAAGAAGCTTGCTGCTGTATGTGGAGTGAATATTTTAAACATTCACCACTCTGACTACCTCATGAACACAAACATGTATCAATAATAACAATTACAAATAACCAATATGTGTTGAATAGCCAGATATGCTAAGATAAGGGCTTTTTATGAAATATCTCAAATTGCCACAACTGCTATGAGTTAGGTAGATATGACTATTTCCTATCATCACGAAGGTGAAGGAATTTGCCCAAGCTCATATTAGCAGGTGGCATGGCCTGACTACAAACTCGGGCAACTTGAGACCAGAACTGGTACTCTCAACTCTGAACTATTTCCTAAGAGTATTACCACAAGATAGGTTCTTCTTTTTTCCTATGAAGGTTTTAAATCAATTCACTTGTTTATATATTTAAAAAGCAGCTTTCAAGCTTATGATCATAATTTTATTTCAGTGGAGACTCAGATTCAAAGTCAAGTCTGCTACAAGTGCATTCTAGAGGGCAAATAGTTACTCATATGCTGTTATCATCCTGGGTGCACTTGTCCTATACTGTGGGGACCCATTTTCAGGTTCATAGTAGCCACAACACAGCAAACTAAAATATGTAGGAATATATTAATGTAAGGATGGAAAAGAAAAGAGTGGGCTCTATTTTTAATACTAGGGCAGGGCACCAAACACAATTTTAACAAGTTGGTTACAGGAGGTGAGGCAATGGCACTTTTGTTCAGATCCTATTCTATGGGGAAACTTAACACCACCCTTGACAATCTCTACTTATGAATTCAATAAGTATATATACCGTTTCTTGTTGAATAATTCTTTGAAGGTGTCGCCTCATGATGACTGATCCAAGGAATCTCTCAAGTGGAGAACAAAGGTAGCTACCTGCGAGGCCAGGCACGAGGCCTGGCGTTGGAGAGGGCAGCAGTAAAATGTTCAAGGCACTGTGAGTGAGGATGGTGGGTATGGAGGCCGCCCAGGGGCGCTGAGGTAGTTTACGAGGCGGAGGCATGTTTGTTGGCATCATTTGGGAACCTTTTTGGAAGGAAAACATGTCATTTCATTTATAAATACACACTCACTGTTCCCTATGTTGCTTTAATTTCAAGTATTTGATATTCTAAAGCAATCTGTACTGTTTCAGTTACTCCTGTGGTGTAGCAATTATCTATTAGCTTTGTGGTAGCAAAAATGGCTGTAGTTATTCTCTTCCCTGCAGCCACATCCTTTGCAATCTGACTTTGCAGTAACTCCTTCGAAGTGGTCTATTTTTCTACCTGGAATCTAGGCTGGCCTTACCACTTGTCGTGGCTTACAGAATGTGGTGGAAGTGACACAGTGCCGGTTGCAAGCCTAGGCTTTCACTCACTGTCTTAGAACCTTGTCCAACTTCAGGTGAACAAAGCCCATGATCAAGTATGAGAATACATGGAGCAGAGAGTGTACTATGACAGCTGGGGCCATCATAGACCAGCCAGGCCCCAATCAACAAAGGAACTGACTATAGAAGCATGAGAGTGCCCAGCAAAGCCTGAAAGAATTACACAACTGGCTCAGCCCAAATTGCCAACTGGAAGAATGGTGAGCTAATATATGATTATTACTTTAAGTCACTGAAAGCCACACAGCAAAAGCAGACATGTTTGTACAATTCTTCTCTTCTATATTAATTTGCATAATCTTGTCAGTTAATTTTAGGTCTCTTTAGAGTTCTAGTATTGCAGCTAAGTTCTAGTATTACAGCTAAGTTAGTCATAACAGAGGTATTAGGACTTAACTCAAAGACATTCCTACATTTTTGCCTCACTTTGTAAATTACCTATTGTTGGCCTATTTATTAAGTGGATAGAAGTTTGAGTAATTAAATCTCCCCATTCGACAAGTAGGTCATGACTTTCAAATGTGAGGATGGAGTTAAATAGGTCATCCACTGGTTATACTAAAAGTGAACATAAAAATGATGGGCCTCCCCGGTGGCGCAGCGGTTGAGCGCTGGGTTGCGAAGCTGCCCGCAGCCTCTGCAGCGCCAGTTCGATCCCCGGCTGCTCCCCGGCCACCTGAGGAGGGTCCCACATGGCGCGCAGACCTCTCCTGCCGCCCGCTGCTCCCCTCAGCAGTGTACTTCGGTCCTTCTGCCTGCTCTGCTCCCCGCTCTGGCTCTGGTGAATTCTCTCACCCTCCCGCGCTTCTGACTGTACCCAGTGCTTGTATAAATAAGAAATAAATAAATCTTAAAATAAAAAAAAAAAAAAAAATGTTGCTGACACTCACTAGTTCCAGCTCTAGGGGAATGAGAAGCATCAGGAACCGGAGAATGTAGTGATGGATTGGCTGGTGACATTCCAGGCATGCGTGTTGCTGGTGAGGGGCCGGACACTTGAGGAGATCCTGGCCAGTTCCCTACTCGTCCACTTGGCGACACCATAGTGTATGGAGAACTAGGGTCCAGAGTTCCTATAAACAAGTCAACAAATGATTTTCAAAACCTGTATTTTAATAACAAAAATATTCGACAGCATTCAGATCCTTCAATGGTGATAATTTTGCTTCATTCAATAGATAGTTCACTGAAGCGTGGTGCATCTTAATGTGGCATACACAAATTTATATTTTGCATAGCTTATATACTTTTTAAACAAGCATTAAGAAAATAAAAATTAAGAAAAGATGAAATTTACCTTCATGCAAACTCCAACATGTGTGATATGTAACAAACCTACTGTATGTTTGAAAATATGAAGAAAAAAATTCTCAAAGCTCCTGCAGGGGCAGAAATCTACTTTTAAACTAACCCTAACAAATTATGTTTGTATTTACTAAGAGAAGGCTGAGGAGAGGGAAATTTTCCAACCTATTTAGTGAAGGACAAACTGATTAGGAAATGAACCAAGAATCAAGTTTTCACAGCAGCAACTTCCTGAACAATTTGATATTTGAATTTCATTCTGCAAATATTTTCAACATATTATTTATACCTTTGCAACCAAATGACAATCTAATAAAATACTTCCACCCTATGTCAGAGAGTAAATGGTCCTTATTTAGAAGTCTTACAAATTGCTAAGAAAATACACAAGATCACAGGCAAAGAATATAAACTAATAACTATAAAAACATAAACTAATAAACACTAAAGACCAATGAACATTTTTAAAAAAAGGTTCAACTTCACTAATAAAAGACATGTACATTAAACCGTAAGATACCATTTTTCACCTATCAAAATGACCAAGATTTTTCCAAATCATAATACCCCACGTTGACAATGATGCAGGAAAACAGACATTCTTGTATGATGCTAGAAGAAATTGGTACAGCCTTTCAGGTGAGCAATTTGCAATGTTTCGAAAGCTTTAGCATTTCTCAAACCCTTTGAGACAGCAATTCCACTTCTAGGAACTTACCTAAGGAAATAATCACGGATGTGAGCAAAGATGACAGGTTTAATTGTGAAAAAAAAATGGAAACATTTAAATGCATAATAGGGGAGCAGTTAAATGATGGTATGCCCAGACAAGGTCATAATATGAAGTCATTTAATATGACAACGTAGTTTTTATTGACAGAAATGTTTCTGTAAATGCTAATAGTAAAAAGTAAAATCACAGATGCTACACAGCTCTAAAAACTGAAGAAGCTCTTTATGTTCTGATTTGGCATGGTATTTATGATACACTGAGTGAAAAAAAGTTAGGCACTCAACACCATTACGGTATGCTGCCATGTGTGTAAAACAATTCACATGTATGTGCCTGTGGATGCGTGAAACGTTTCTGGAAGAAAACATGAGACAGCACTATGACTGCCTCTACGGAGAACTAGGTGGTAGGTGGGATAGAAAGGAAACATTTCACTAGCAACCTCTGCTATTCATTATCTATTTGAACCAATTCAAAATAGAACTTTTGAGTTAAAAGGTTAAAAAATTCAATGGTCAAACAACACATTCAATAGGGTCCCTATTTGGGGGGATGGAGAGGGAGTTTGAGTTGGGAGGCAAGCAGACAAGCAAAGAACAAGCAAGAACAACAGGGATACTAGCAGGTAGGCAAGCAGGGGGTGACAGGAAGAGCAAGGGAGGGTGAGGAGAAGTGAGGAAGGGAAAGCCCAAAACCCAAAGCAGGCTAATTGGTAGATTTCTGCGTGGTGGGGTTAGGAAGAACTATTTTCTTTTGCTATAGGAAAATATTTTTAAAAGTTACTTTCATGTCAAACTCTTATTGCTATCACAAATGCCATGTATGGACTCACCATGAGGACTAGCAAAACTGGCCCCTGGTCCTATTGAGATTCCATGTGAGGATGGGGGAGGAGTTGGAACAAATGACGCTGGTGATGGGGCTCTCAAAGCCCCACTGGGGGAGTTGGCAGCATGCAGATTTCCTAATAAAGGAAAATAATTACAGATGATCTTGCAGGACACATATTATGTCCTGCCTAAGAACTCTAAGTTAAGACTCTACAGACTAAAGGAACAAGTCAGTAAAGTTCCCATAAATAGCACAAAGGAAGACTGGAAGGCTTTCATTATTATAAAGGAGAAATCAATTCCATGGGGCCCAATTTCTAGCTCTTATATTGACTGAGTTTTTTTTTTCTTTATTAACATCCAGTGTACCCTTTATTCATTCATTCAACAAGTAGGCATAAATGTCAACTTCATGCCAAGCACTGTTCTAGGTACTGGGGATGTAGCAATCAACAAAGAGACAAAAATTCCTGCCCTCATGGAGCTTATATTCTAGTAGGATGAGAAAGACATGTATCAGTGCTATGGGGAAAAACAGGGCAAGGTAATGGTCAAATATCATGTAGTGGTAGAGGTGGGTGCAGTTATTTATATAAAATCAACCAGAGAAGACCTCTCTAAGAAGGGGACAGGTAGGCTGACATGAAGAAAGTAAAGGTTAAAGCCCGTGGATATCTATGGGATAAGATATTCCAGGCAAACAGAAAAGCTAATGCAAAGGCCTCAAAGGTGGCAGCAGTTATAAGTAACAGGGGGAGGCCACTGTGGCTAGGACAGCATGAGAGGGGGGGAATAGGAGGAGATGAGTTCAGAGATGGGGGGGTGGTCCCAGAAGCCATGGGACTTACAGATCGCTCTAACAACTTAGTGTTTGCCTTCAATAAGATGGGAGGCCATTGCAGTTGGTAGCAGGGGTCATGAACTTCTGTTCTAGAAGGAACACTCTAGCTGCTGTGTGACTATAGGCAGGGGACAAGGACAGGACAAGGGCAGGGGGCAGGGGCAGGATACTGGTTAGAGACAACTGCAATAATTCAGATGAGAGATAGTTAGTGATGGAGAACAGTGGTTAGATTCTGGATAAATTCTGAAGAAAGCTGTCAGTCTTTGGTAACTAAATGAATATGGGTGGGAGAGAGAGAGGAGTTCAACATGACTCTTAACAACTTTGGCCCAAGTAGCATGAAGGAAGGGGCTGCTATTTACTCAGATGGGGCATCTGTGGGAGGAGCAGCACAGAGTTGAGGTTTCAGAGGGCAGGGAGGGGCAGTGGTCAGGAGTTTAGTTTTGGCCATGCTGAGTTTCAGATGTTGATTAGACATGGAAATGCTGAAAAGACAGCTGGAAAATACTGGATTCAAGTTCAGGGGCAAGTCCTATAGGGGAGATCTAGAAAACTGGGAGATACAAGCTTAAAGAAGGCATTTAGCCACAGGGCTAGTTTTTATTTTAGGATTAAGAAAGAGGAAACCATGGGTACCAAAACTATGAATAAATGCAACATTAAAATACTTCCTACATTACCATAACTATTTTCACTATCAGCAGGTTTCAAATGCTCTACCACTATGTAAGAGAATTTCTATCTTTTATGTTCTATTACCTAATATAGTGCCTTACACTCAATAAATATGTTCATCAACTTTATTTACCTTTAAGTGTTACATTTACATATTTAGTTATATGACCTGGACAAGAGATTTAATTTCTTTCTCTATAAAATGGGGATAATGATAGGACCGATGCTATGGGTTTGCTAGGGAGGTTAAATGGGTAAAGTGCTTAGAATAGGGCTTGGCACGCAGTGAGCACTATATACTTACCTGTTAGTATATACTACTAGATATACTACATAAATAGGTATGCTTGTGTTTCAAGCAAACTTATTTACAAAATCAGGTGGTGGGCAGGACCTGGCTCACAGGCCTTAGTTTGTTGACCTCTGACATAGATCAGGTTGTCATTGGCATTTCTGCTGAGTGTGATGGTACTTCTGCTTAATTCAAACCTTTCAAAGGTGCTCTTGAACCATCAATACAGATTCACAGTCATGCCATAATGAATGAATGGCAAATATCTAGTCAAAGGCAGATATTTCTGTCAGATATATCTCTGTGTGTATGTGTGTATGTGTGTGTGTGTGTGTGTGTTTTGAATTTGAAAGTTGAACAAGACAAGAGAACAAGTAATATCTTACCTGGAGAGGGTGTATGCATCATAGAAGGAGACTGGTTAACTGTACTGTGATAAGATGTAGGGGGCGAAGTAAGAGGATAAGCGCCTGATGATCCGGGCTGCTTTGGAAATGGCTGAGAAGAAATTAAATTTTGTTTAAATGGCCATCCATACGTACAGGATGAGTGTGTGGTTTTCCCAGTAAATAGCTAATGCTAACATTTACATACTTCATTGGTTACCAAATAAGAAATATGAGGTATGAAAATGCGCAAAATACACATCAATACCACAAGTTTTTAAAAGCTCTTTTAAAATGTTTTAAATAGCAACATACTCATTCCTGACCTTACAATACCATCACTTATATCCCTACAGATGTTTTTTGTTCATTTTATCTACCATTATCACTGATTTATCTCTATCACTTAGCTACTATTTCACTGATTTGAAGAAATTTCTCCCCATATTCTAACATCTCTGAAATCAGGTGTCTTTCAAGTCATGTCATATCATTTTTAATTAGAAGTGATTTTTACTTTCTTAGCAGTACATTAAAAAAAATGCACCTTATATCTCGCTGAGTTTGAGTCAATAAAATGATAGTTCAATATGACCTCCTCTCATCTTTACCTACCCTCATGTCCAGTAATGAAAAACCTAAGACGATATAATCCTTCCTTGTCTATTCTTTTAATTGAGGTACAAATCACACAGAATAAAGTATACAAATCTTAAATGTAGAGTCTTTACGAATTTTTGCAAATGTAACTGCCACAAAAATCAAGATACTGAAGACATTACAGAGGCCTCCCTCATACACCTCCCAAGTCTATTTTTTGTTGCCTCCCCAAAGGTAAGCACTATTCTGACTTCTATCATTCAAGGTTAGTTCTGCCCATTTTTTTGAATGTCTATGAATACTGAATGTATTCAACAGTGTCTGGCTTCTTTTGCTGAACAGCATGTCAGTGAAATTTATCATGTTCCATGTAACAGTCATTTCTTTATTCATTTCTGTAAAGTATCTCAATGTATGACTATACCCTAATTTATTCACTCATTCTACTGTTGTTGAATATTTTTGTGTTTATAAATTTTTGGATAATGTTATATCATTATTATGGATAAAGAATGTTGTTATGAACATTCTTCTGTTTGTGATGCATTTCTGTTGCATATATGCCTAAGAATAAAACTGTTGAATCTTGGGTATGCATAATGCTCAGCTTTAGCACTCTGGAACATGGATAAACACCACTGCAAGATACCTGTACCCCAGCAGTAAATGAGAGTTGCTCCTAATACCAAATGTTGACAAGGATTATCAATTTTTTCCTTAAAGCCATTTTTGTGGGTATGGAGGACCAACTCACTGTGGTTTTAGTTTGTGTTTCTGGGATGCCAAATAATGTCGAGCATCTTTTCTGTGCTTACTGATCATTTGGATATCTTCTTTAGTGATCACATGGTTGATCAAATGACATGATTTTAAGTGCATGAGTGTGATGTTTATGCTATTTCTGACATGGACAGTGCTATTTCTGATATTATTCACTTCCCTCTGTCACTGTTATTTCATATAGATTTCCTGAGCACCTTGGTCTGACCAAGCACTGCCTCACCTTCCAACAAAGAAGCCCAGTTACCTATTGAACCGGTTAAGTTACACATACGTGATACCACTGGGAATTTCAGTTAAACATCACCTGTTGCTGGGGTGGTGGCTGGATCTGTGAGATTAAAGAATCCATCATATCTCCTCCTATGGGAGAAGGGGGATTATCATCCTCATTCACAGACCTTCTTCGAGCATCCTGATTGCTGTCAACAAACATATTCAGGAATGTCTATGGATATAAACAGGTACAATTTAGATTATTTTACCTAACTTTAGTAAAAACATCTTACTAAAGATATTTTTAATCACTTTAGAATACTTTAACAGAAAATAAAAACATATGTCATGTCTGAAATGTGTTTGACAAATGGCTTTTATTATTAGCACAACCTGAAAAAGATAATTTTGAGAGAAGAGGGGAAATTAAGGAAAGCAGTTAACCACCAAAAAAAAAAAAAGCTAAGATAAAACATCCAATCAACTGAGAAGTATTGTGCTAGCAAAATCTGAAGAAAAAAGTACATCCTGGCACCTCTAAAAACAAGACAGGGTAAAAGTCTCTTTAAGGGCCTCCCTGGTGGTACAAGGAGTTAAGCACAGCACTGTGAAGCTATCTGCAGCCCCTGCAGCATGAGTTCAATCACAGCCGGCCACAGAGCTACCCACATGGCACAGCAGACCTGTCCTGTCTCACCCACTGCTCCCCTCAGTAGTGTATTTGAGTCAGTTTGACTGTTCTGTTCCCCACTCTGTCTCTGGTGAATCCTCTCACCCCCCGCACCCTGGCCTTTACCCCAGCTCTCAAATGCATAAATAAATAAATCTTAAAAAAAAAAAAAAAAAAAAAAAGGAGACACTTAAGTCTTCCCAGGTCCTTTAATCATTCTCATTGGGTTAGATTGATTTCTACTACACTGGTGGAGGATCTTAGACTTTGAGGACATGCTAAGATCAATTAAGAGAAGAGGTACCATATTAAAAATGGAGGGTAAAGTTTACATATTGAATGTTGAGGATGCTAGTTCCCGTCTCTTATTTATTTACCAAAGCACCATCTATGCAGGACACCTTGATATGCTTCTCTTGGTAGTCACACCAACCCAACAAAATTAGATCTAAAGTACTGACACTAGGAGCTACCCAAAGAAAAGGCCCAAGCAGATTATCCTGCAATGAAGACAGAGTCAACAAGTCTCACTTTTAAATAAGAACAGCAAGTTAAGAATCAGTATTTGAAGAAAGAGTCTAATATGAAGATCAAAAGGAAACAAAAAGCAGGGTGCATGAAATGGAGACTATATAGGAATAAAAGAGGTAATAGAAGATAATGTAACCATATAGAGCAGGATATCATAAAATGAACATTTAGAAACCAAAAAGTATTCTTAGAAATTTCTTAAAGGAAGGCAAAACAGACATAAGAAACAAAGATAAGAAAATCAGAGGCTAACTCCAGGATGCCTGCCCAACATCAGAATAATAGGAGCACTAGAAAGAGCTAGCAGAAGAAACAAGAGACGAACCAAAAAGAGTGCAAGGAAATTCCCCAGAGCAGAAGGATGTATGTCCTAGACTGAAAGAGCTCTCAATTTCATAGGTTCAACAACTGGAACAGGATCAAATGTCTCAGCAGTCACAATGGAAGCTAGAAGACAATGGAACAATGCTTTTAAAATTTCTTGGAGAAAACAATCACAACCCTAGCATTCTGTACCTAGCCACCCTCAGTTACATGACAGTAAACTGAAGATGTTTGTTTGTTGCTCTAAACAATGGAGTAAACAGAGAAAAAGACAAGCCACAGGGTGTGCAACATGAGAGAAGTTAAGGACTCTCCCCGCTTCATCATCTTCCTGCAGATACCTAAGTCAAACTGTGCAAAAGGTCTGGAAAACTACCATTCCAGAGGACTGTGGAAAAGATTTCTTCAAAATGAAACCAGTAAGGTATCGGCTATGTGAATATACTGAGGAGAGAGCTGCAGGTATGGGAGAGACTTTACCCTAAATTAATGATAATGATAAACACAGAGAAAGGAAAGGTGACCAAAAAAATGAGTCAAGTAATGATTTCCAGGAAAATAAAATGTGTTAAGAAAGCAAAGTAGGGCCTCCCCTGGTGGCGCAGTGGTTGAGCGCTGGGCTGCGAAGATGCCTGCAGCCTCTGCAGCGCCGGTTCGATCCCCGGCCGCCAGCAAGGGTCCCACATGGCACTATAGACCTCTCCTGCCATGCCCGCAGCTCTTCTCAGCAGTGTATTTTGTCAGTCTGCCTCTTCTGTTCCCCGCTCTGGCTCTGGTGAATTCTCTCACCCTCCCGCGCTTCTGACTGTACCCAGTGCTTGTACAAATGAATAAATAAATCTTAAAAAAAAAAAAAAGGGAAGTAATCACAGCAAGTTTGGTAGAGTAAGTGTTTACATAATTCACAATAATGTGAGACTGAAGATTTTAAATCAAAATCGTTATCTAACGATATTGCAGGGATAGGAGGAAAGAAGAAATTGTGTACTGGGAGCAGTCTGAGAGAGGGAAGAGGCATATAAGAAAGAATTTAGTAGTGATGTAAATATGCTATTTGGAGACAAGGGTGTAACACCAAGAGAATTTGCAATGTCAGAGTGTAAAACAGAGCAGGAAAATGGCAAGCGTGAGTTGCAGGGGACTAATTTTCAAAACAGGCCATTAAGAACTATTTGACTCTAAGTTGTAAGCGCATACAATTGAGCTCTACCAGAATATCCAGGGCTTGAGGCCCATTTCAAGAAAGCATCATAGTTGAACTGTTGATCAAACTTTCTCAAAAACCAATGAGAAAGCCTTTTTAAAGTCTCTTAAAAGTTCCAAATAACAAATATGACTCTCTTCAGTATCTTCCACCTTCCTTATCAAGGGGTAAGGAAATAACGTATATTTTATCATCTTATATGCAGACATAGTACTCTATCATAACTTCTAGTTCCTTCAAAATGAAGTGAGAGAAATGATGCATATAGAAGACTACTTATTAAATTTAAATAGGAATTGGTTACTTTCCCCCATTATTCCTGTCAAAGAAATTGTTTCAGAGATCGTATTTATATTTATTCATGCTATAACATTAAAGTCTGTTACCTTTAGTCCTGGTGCAGGATAAAAACCTTCTACTAACTTGCTATTATCAAAAAGACTATAGGCACCATCCCGTATTGCCACAACACCTCGACTCCGACAGTATATATCAATGCAATACATGTTCCTGAAGGCCAGCCTGATGTGGGTGGATGACTGTGGCAGAATGGAGAAGCACTGGTAGGCAGTGTTGGTTCTCTGGGTCAAGCCCAACATCGGCACAGTGGGGAGTTTGTTGATGGCATTTAACGGAGCCTGAGTATCAAACAGTACCTGTAAGGAACAAGTAACAGTGAGACAACCAGTTTGTGTACAAATGCTAAAACCTCAGAATTTTCGATGTACAACTGTCTCAAATGAGACAATATCCTTCTGGGACATTTCACAAAACTTTCTCTTTAAGAGAATATACGGACTGGCCTCCCTGGTGGCACAAGGGGTTAAGCACCACATTATGAAGCAATCTGCAACCTCTGTAGCACGAGTTTGATCCCTGGCCAGATAGGGAGCAACCCACATGGCACAGCAGACCTCTCTTGCCTCACCTGCTGCTCCCCCTCAGCAGTGTACTTCAGTCAATCTTCCTGTTCTGTTCCCTACTCTGTCCCTGGTGAATCCTCTCACCCCCCACCCCACATCTCTGGCCTGTACCCCAGCTCTTATATGCATAAATAAATAAATCTTTTTTTAAGAAAAAGAGAGAGAAAATATACAGAGGGCCTCCCTGGTGGCGCAGGGGTTAAGACGTGGCCTATGAAGCTATCCGTAGCCACTGCAGCACCAGTTTGATTCCCGGCCAGGGAGCTATCCGCATGGTGCAGCAGACCTCTCCTGACTCTGATGAATCCTCTAACCACCCCCACCACCTCTGGCCTGTACCCCAGTTCTTATACATAAATAAATAAATCTTCAAAAAAATAATAAAGACACAGTGCTATGAAACTATCACCAGCCACTACAACATGAGTTCAATCCCAGGCCAGGGAGCTGACCCACATGGCACAGCAGATCTTTCCTGTCTCGCCCACTGCTCCCCTCAGCAGTGTATTTCCGTAGATCCACCTGTTTTGCTCCCTACCCTGTCTCTGGTGAATCCTCTCACCCCCTGCACTTCTGACCTATACCCCAGTTCTTGTATGCATAAATAAATCTTCAAAGATCCATTAAAAAAAGAGAGAATATATAGACCATTTTGAGTCAAAGAAAACTTCTTACAAAAAGAGGGCAAGATATAAAAGATAAAGGTAGCCACTCTTGTCAGTAAAGCTAAATCCACATGATTTTTTTTTTTTAAAGATTTATTTATTGATTGATTGATACAAGCACTGGGTGTACAGTCAGAAGCGTGGGGAGGATGAGAGAATTCACCAGAGCCAGAGCGGGGAGCAGAGCAGGCAGAAGGACCGAAGTACACTGCTGAGGGGAGCAGCGGGCGGCAGGAGAGGTCTGCGCACCACCACATGATTTTTTGAGGAGTTTTACATGAGACACTAACACTGAGTCTTATTTTTAAACAGAACATAAAATTACCTGTAATAATTGAACCACATTTGGTGTTTTGTTGAACATTTCTTGAAGCTGATGGAGAATGGTATTGTGACAGTTACTGCAACCTGAGTTTGGGCCAACAGTTCCCAAAGAAATGTGAAATTTCTGATGTATGGAATTCCACTGGATACTAATCTAAATCAAATAAATGACATTTCTCAGAAACAGAGAGAGAGGACTAGAATGAAAAATGTTTCAACGGTAAGGCAAAATGCCAAAGATCTAAATGAGGTCTTTTTAAAAAGTATCTCTTCAGACAGGACTCTACAACTCCAGATACATACACTGTTACTATGAAACAGTAACATTCACTGAGCATGTGTGCATTTGTTACATGGCCCACTTCTGAATGAAACAGAAAGAGAACATGCTGAAGGAAAATTTTTGATTAAATTTTATTTGAAAAGTATCATTAGTATTTTTTTATTTTTCATTTTTCTCCTGAACTGAATTAGTCACCTCTCTGAGCACATCATAAAGGGAAAGCAAACCAACCCCAACACAGATGCCTTCAGTTAATGATGTTAATAATCCTGTGACCAAAAGCATAGACATACCATACTGTTCAAAAACCATTCACACTTAATCCTTATTATAGTAACCATGTTGCTAAGATTTGAAATCAATGAAGGAAAAAATATAGACACCAAAAGTACATTATGTTTTCTAAAAATCTTTAAGATTATGTACCCTATTCAAAGAGGGCATAATCTGTGTTTTCAATTACAGAGTTAAGCATTTTAGTATACTATATCAAGAAAGTTATTAAAATTTACCATTTTTTCCCTAATTTTTAACTGAGCCCTCAATTATTTCATGGCAGTTTTCATAATTTTTAAGTTCTTGATTTTTAAAAGGTTTATGAGAAGAACTTCAGTTTTAATTAATTCATAGACTTACTGAGCTTCCCTTGGTGGTTCCATAACACAAGATAAGTTTTCGGTAATTATAAACACGAACTTCTGAGAAAATATTTAAATGAGCAGGTATGTCTACATAGAAAGGAAACAAAAGGAGATAAAGATCATACATGCAAAATTAAGAAATATATATTTGAAAAAGAGAGCATATGGGTAATATTATATGCCTAGATAGAAAGGCCTCTAAATACATAATTAAAAGAAAGGAAGCAAAAGCAAAAACAAGAAAGCAATAATAGCATAAATGGATAGCAGGCTTCCAGTTCCATTTCTACAAAAGGGAGCCAGGGCAGGGGTGGAGATATACTGAAGCAGAATGGGGGTTCCAATTCCAGCTCTGGCATTTACTAGATATGTGACCTTCAGCAAGTTTCTCCATTTCTGTGACTTGTTTATTTGTAAAATGAGGACTAATAAAATACCTACCTCATAGGGTGACTGTGAGGATTAAATGAGTTAACAGAAGCAACTATTATACTTTACAGCACATGGTAAACTGTCAATAAATACTATTACTACAGTATGGTTTATCTGTGTGCAAAAATTCCTGGATCCATAAGAAACTTAACTGTGGTTGTTTCTGGGGGAAGGAAACTGAAGTCTGAGATAAAAGGGAAACTAGCTTTTTATTACACTTTTGAGGTTTTTTTTTTGTTTGTTTTAATAATATGCATGTTTTACTCCTTCAGTTAAAAGAAAAGGGTGGGGTGTTTTTTGCTTCACAAGAAAAATCAACAAATATACCTGGTAGAGACCGTGCAAATTCTAAAACACACTCATATAATCGTGCAATGCTATTCCAGTCATTAAGGAACATTTCAACCACTTTTCGACCACCAACTGGTTCAGATAACAGGTTTTCATATGTCAGATAAACATGCCGGGATGGTCCTAACAGGATTAAAAGAGAAGATTAATAGTAATCAATACCAAAAACAAAATAATCCAGAAACAAACGAAGGCAAAGTGTGTGAGTCATCTCACCTTGCTCCCTGGTAGAAGTGCCATTAAGTGGACAATTTGCAAACACTAACTCTGCCACCCATGTGCGGTTATTTCTACCTTGTAATCGAAAAGTGCAATCGAGAAGAGAACGGTCCAGAGCTTTTTGGGTTTCCTCATTTACACCCTTACAGGGAGGAATTCTGGAGATGAAAGATAGCACATAAAATGTACTTCACATTACAGAAAGACAAAAGCACAATATACACAACGACAGGCAAGGTACACATTAGAGCTTCAGTTCAAACTCTACTAGGCAACTTCTGCAAAGAGATAAAACAATTCATAGCAATACATAGCAATTAACAACAATTACTCCATTTCTGTTCATATCAACATGGACTGGGACTCTTACTTTAACAAATTGATGTTTGCCTTCATCCTTAATCTGTGTATTAGAAAAGACTACAATTCTTCAGAATGAAAAATCAAGGATACTGGTTTTCTACAAGTCTACCTAGAACACTCTCAAGGAAAAGCTAAGTGTAACAAACTACTTCTAAAACTAGTCCTTGAAGGCAAGATAATACCATGGAAAGAAGAAGCGTTCTGGAATCAGGAAAGTGCACTCTATTTTTCTTTTTCTTAAATTCATTTATTTGTTTTCTTATATTGTTGTTCATTTTTGTACAGTAATTGGTTTCCCCTCAGGCGTAGTCCCCGTAGTTCTCCCACCACGACAGCACCCATGAACCTCACCATAGTCTCTTGTGCTCTTCCCTCCCTCATTTTGACCCTTTCCCTCCTTGTCTCTTGCTATATGCATCAGATCTATGGTGAGCTTGCAAGTTTTGTCTTTTTTCTTGATCTTTTTCAGTTTCTCTATATTCCACATATAAGTGAAACCATCCAGTATTTATCTTTTTTCATCTGACTTATTTCGCTTAGCATGATCCCTTTCTCCATCCATGTTGCTACGAATGGCATGAGTTTATCATTTTTGATCACTGAGTAATATTTTATTGTGTATATATACAACTTTTTTTTTAATATCACAACTTTTTGATCTATTTGTTTGTTTGGGGGCATTTGGGTTGTTTCCATATCTTGGCTATTGTAAATAGTGCTGCAATAAATATAGGAGTGCAGGTTTCCTTTTGAATTAGTGTTTTCTGTGTTTGTTGGGTAGATTCCTAGCAGTTGAATCTCTGGGCCATATGGTAGATACATTTTTAGTGTTTTGAGAAATATCCACACAGCTTTCCATAGTGGCCGGATCAGTTCACATTGCCACCAGCAGTGTAAGAGGGTTCCTTTTTCTCCACACCCTCACAGGAAACTGCATTCTAATTGTGACTCAGTTACATTGAACCCCTATGAATTTCAGTTTCCCAACTATAAAATGGAAATAAATAATTACCTTAAAGGTTACTCATTTTAAAATATGACAAAACACATATAAAGTGCAGGTATTTATTCATAAACATTTATTAGTTGACACCTGCAATAAATCCAAGTCTTGTACACTGAGTGCCATGACAAGATTCTGGTTCATTACCCCCCTTTCCCTCCTCTTCTGTAGAATACTCATTACAACGGAACTTCATGGGTAGGAACTCAATTAACATTCACACTATTATTTTTATCTATCATGTGCCTCAGAGGAATGTATAACTTTTTAAAATACCTACCTATCCATTTTCTTCTTGCAGCTGTATGGACTATATTATTTGTCATAAAACATTAAGAGGTGATATATTTTAGCTGTTAATGAATTGGTTCAGCAACAGATGAAATAATGAGATGATATATCATTTAATCACACATTATCAATTCAGAGAAGGTAGGTTAATTCTCAGACTTGGTATAATTATTAATATCTAAAACAAAAACCAACAAATATAATTGGAAATACCGACTTTTGTTTCATTATTCCTATTCAGAATATAACACCTAGAACAGGAATTCTCACTCTTGGCAATATTGATAGTTTGGGCTGGATAATTATTTGTTGTGGGGGTTGGCCTGTACACCTCTGGTCTCTACCTATCAGATGACAGTAGCACCTCCTATTCCTTCTTCTTAGTTAATAATAACCAAAAATATCTTCAAACATGCTAACTATCCCCTGGAGGGCAAAAATGCCCTGGAGTTGAGAACCACTGACCTAGAATAAACAACTTAAGTGAGCAAAAGAGATAGAGACTGCAGATGGTAAAAAATAAAATTGTAGAGGGGAATAAAGCTATATAGGTTGCATAAAAGAATTAATGTAATACTGAAATCATCTCAATTAATGAAAAATTTCACCAGAGTGCCTCTTAAATGTACAGGTTAAATTTTTCAAAAATTAATCTTTCATACTATTTATTTTTTATCACCACCAGAAAGACTTTGCCCAATGTTATTTGGGGTAGTTATTGTAGACATTGCATACACTGCATATATGCTTTTCAATGTCACAGGTATACTGAGGAGCTCTGCTTTTACCCCTCAAAACATAAATGTAACCTATAGGAATTATAAGGCAGCCAATTCTAATCAATTTCTAAATCTTGATTTTGAAAATATAAATTCATTAACATTATCTTCCTTTCACATAAAATGTGTGCTTCATGTAATCCATCTGGATAGAAAATGAACACACAGAAGCCAAAATGTTTTGAAGTATGAATTAAGGTTAAGACTCCTTTCAATTTATGCTCTCAGGGACATCACAATCCTGAAAATACACTCTACCTCACCTTCTTAATCTGTGACACAGATACAATTGGCTCTACTTCAAAGAACCTGTAAAATATTTTCTAGCTTTTATGGCTATCAATGTAACAGAAAGAATGAACTACAATTATAACCTTCATCCTCCCCCACATGATTATGGGAAAGGGGAAAAACTGGTTTCCTGAAAGGAAATCTGACAAGATTGTTATGAACTCAAAATACTGTTCTATTCACCAAAAATTAACTTAGACATTTCCTGAACAATGGATTAACCTTCTCTGAAAACTACCATTTCAAGGAAGTTTTCCCATCTACACAGCTATACCTGGCTGATTTTTCTCCTATAATTCTGAATATTGAACCAATTTAGGAACTATGCTTTAGTCTGTTAGGGTAGATGTGTGTCAGCACTGTTCCTTTTTGGCTGTCATGTGCTGTGTGTCAGTTTCATTGTGAGGGGTTTTACAAATATCAGTGACTGCACTATGTCCCTGTGGTCCAAAAGTAGCAAGATCACTGAAAAGTGCTAGTAAAAGGAGCACAGTTGTGCCTACAAGGAAAGTGAAGAGGGTTTTATGAAGGTTGCTGCCATGGATACACATAAGGATTTAGACACATAACTGAATGTAAGCTGAGTCACAACTTGCAGAAAAGAGCTATATCTAACATGCTATTTGCGTAAGTGACAGGAGCCACAACGGACAAGATGGAATAAACCTTGTGGGTGTAGGGAGAGGACCAGTACCACTGCCCCTTTCTTTAATGTTAGTTCAGAAAGTGGGGAGTTTGGTAAAGAACTCAAAACTAAGCAGCACAGCATGATGCTCTTGAGACATATATCAACTGCGTGTAGGATGAAGGTTCTTCTGAATGTGCACAAGGCAAGAGGTCCAGAAACCACAGCAATCTAAGTACTTTCAGGTACATCAGGTACCTGAAGGCCTGTTCAACAGATTTTCAAAGAAATAAGCTGAACAAGAATGGAGCATATTTTCAGCAAAGGGGAGAAAAATATGCTCAATTTTAGAGCTTTGAAGTATCAACTCATACTCCTATTTAGTACTAATTTATCCAGGATTAAAAACTTAAAAGAGTATTTCCTGAAGATGAAATGCATTAGAGCTATTACATACTAATTAGTTCTGTGCAGGATTTTAATTTTTTTTTTCAAAGATTTATTTATTTATACAAGCACTGGGTACAGTCAGAAGCGAGGGAGGGTGAGAGAATTCACCAGAGCCACAGCGGGGAGCAGAACAGGCAGACTGACGAAATACACTGCTGAGGGGAGGAGCGGGCGGCAGGAAAGGTCTGCGCGCCATGTGGGACCCTCGCCAGTGGCCGGGAATCAAACTGGTGCTGCAGAGGCTGGGGGCAGCTTCGCAGCCCAGCGCTCAATGGCTGCGCCACCAGGGAAGGCCCAGGATTTTAATTTAATAAAATCACAGCTAGGCATTCGTTGTTTACTTTTTCCTCCTTCACTTCGATAGTCAACCCCCCCACTATAATGGATGGCATATACCAGACACAGCTTTAGCCATTTCTATATACTCTCTTTTTAAGTTTTAAAAAAGGAAGCAATTTATTATAGTGGGGTTACAATAAACACTTTTAAAATTATTGTAAAATCAAGCTAAAAAATAAGAAGTACATCCTCTCTAGGTGGCAATATTATGAGTTCTCAAGTTCCAGAAAAAAACAGGACTGAAATTTATTTCATAAAAATGCTGAAAAAGGGGCCTCCCTGGTGGCGCAGCGGTTGTGCGCTGGGCTGCAAAGCTGCCTGCAGTCTCTGTAGCACCGGTTTGATTCCTGGCCCACCAGGGAGAAACCCACATGGCGCGGCAAACCTCTCCTGCCTCGCCTGATGCTCTCCTCAGCAGTGTCTTTGGTCTGTCCGCCTGTTCTGTTCCCCGCTCTGTCTCTGGTGAATCCTCTCACCCTCCCGCACATCTGGTTGCTAAGGGCCTCCCTGGTGGCACAGGCAGTTGAGCGCTGCACTGTGAAGCTGTCCACAGCTTCTGCAGCGCAGGTTCGATCCTGGCCAGCCGGGGTGAAACCCACATGGCGCAGCAGACCTCTCCTGTCTCGCCTGCTGCTCCCCTCAGCAGTGCATTTCGTCTGTCTGCCTGTTCTGTTCCCTGCTCTGTCTGTGGTTAATCCTCTCACCCTCCCATATATCTGGCCTGTACCCTGGTTCTTGTACAAATAAATAAATTTTATTTAAAAAATAAATAAATAAAACTCTTGCTAAACATGAAAAATGTAACTAAGAGAAACCAAATGTTAACATCATCCACTTAACTGCAGTTGCTACAAAGAGTAAAGACAAAAAATTCCTTACATTTTTTAGGCAGAGGTAATTCAAAGCCAAAGTCAATTAAAAGTATTACATTTTCCTACTGATTTCTATTATGAGACCAGCACTCCCTTTCCTTTTTTTTTTTTTTTTTTTTGGTGGTACCCTTGCCAGCGGCCGGGGAACAAACTGGCGCTGCAGAGGCTGCGGGCAGCCTCACAGCCCAGCGCTCAACCGCTGTGCCACCAGGGGAGGCCCCCAGTACTCCCTTTCTTGAAAGCTTTTTGTAGAGATGGTGTTAAGATAGCCAGGACTGGGGGCCTCCCGGGTGGCACAGCGGTTGAGCGCTGGGTTGCGAAGCTGCCTGCAGCCTCTGCAGCACCGGTTCGATCCCCGGCTGCTCCCCGGCCACCGGAGGAGGATCCCACATGGCGCGCAGACCTCTCCTGCCGCCCACTGCTCCCCTCAGTAGTGTGTTTCGTCAGTCTGCCTGCTCTGCTCCCCACTCTGGCTCTGGCGAATTCTCTCACCCTCCCGTGCTTCTGACTGTACCCAGTGCTTGTATAAATAAATTTTAAAAAAATCTTAAAAAAAAAAAAAAGATAGCCAGGACTGGAAGCTATCCTAGTTCAAGCCTCTCTGAAGTGAGCACTGTCATACAGATGGAATGCATGCTATTTGCTAGCCCTTCTCATCTTCCACGCAAAGAAACTGATGCCCAAGTAACAAAAATTAAAGTCTCACTGGATCAAATGGCAGAGCTACCATATATGTCTTTACAGACAGGGGAATTGGATAAAACTAAAAGTTCTTTGCCACCTTCTCCTCTTTCTCACAACTAACATTAGTCTAATCACCAACCCTTAAATATTTCTTCCCATAAATCCTTGCAGAACCCTCCCTAGTCCATGCTACCTAGAACTGTGCTGTCAACCATTTCAGCAACTGGTTTTGATACTTTAGTCATGTTCTCATACAATTCTCCATATTGTCACCAGGGTGAGCTTTCAAAAACCCCTACCAAATGTCAGCTCCTGCTTTTTATCATCTGATGGCTTTTTATTGCCATTAGGACAAAGTCTAAATTCCTTAAGGACACTCACAAAGGTCTATAGGATCTGATACATTCCTATTCACCTCTCCAATTTCATCTCTCCCTACTCCTGCCATGCTCAACTTCCTTCTGTTCCAAGGATGCCAAGTTCTCTTGTTTCCAAGGCTTCGCATTAGTAGTTATCCCTTCCAGTTAGTGCCACCCGCTACCCTAGCTCCCCCTTTCCTCTGGCTAATTCTCACTTTCAGTCCAAGTACAATTTGTACTTTCTCAAGGATAACCTTTCCTGGCTTCTGAACTAGCCCATATACCCCTGCTGTGTTAACTCACAGCATCCTGAAAGGCCCTATTAGAATGCAAGCCTGAAACACAGTTGTACCCAGTAAACATTTGCTGAATGAACAAAAGAAATAGAGGAAAGACATCCTAAAATACCAAGTGATGCTGGACCCCTACTTGGCAGATGAAAGACAATCCTTCCCTAGACAGTTATGCTATCTCAGGGAAGGGGAGGGACAACCATAAGTATGGTTACAATGTATAGCATCAAGTAAGACACACCATAAGGACTTACTTCAGTAAGCGAATTGCGTGGCTGAAGCCATCACCTTCCATTTGCACTCCTTGATGTGGAATCTCCAGATTAGACAACTGGAAAGAAAAAAGCAATTATATCAGATCACCAATTTCTCAAAGAAACTATCTTGTCTAAGTACTACTGTCTCTATTCTCCTGGAATCTGTTCTAGGGCCATTCTGTCTCAAAGTGACAACATATTGGGCATAAGCATTGTCCCCCATCATCTGATTTCCTGGGAAAATGTTCAGTGAAACTTAAAGATTGACACACAGCTTCTAGCTAAAAAAACCCCAAAAACAAAACATTCATAGATGACAATTTTCTTTGTGAAACCCAAGAAGAAAGGATTTCCAATTTATGTACTTAGTCAATGAGGTATCTTTCCCAATTGAAGGATTCAGAAAGTAGTTAAAAAGATGAACGCGGGCCTCCCTGGTGGCACAAGGGGTTAAGTCTCAGCACTATGAAGCTTTCGGCAGCCACTGCAGCACAAGTTCGATCCCCAGCCAGGGAGCTGACCCACATGGTGCAGCAGATCTCTCCTGTCTCATCCGCTGCTCCCCTCAGCAGTGTATTTCAATAGATTCACCTGTTTGGCTTCCCACTCTGTCTCTGGTGAGTCCTCTCACCCCCCACACCTCTGGCCTACACCGTAGTTCTTGCAAGCATAAATACAAATAAATCTTTGGAAAAAAAAAAAGATGAATGCAGGTGCAAAAGAATCAAACTAGACCGCTCTCTCACATCGTACACAAAAATTAGCTCAAAATGGATTAAAGATTTGAACATGACCTAAAACCATAAAATATGAAAAAAACAGGCAAAACACTCCCTGATACAGGCTTCAGTAATGTCTTTGGGGATTCAACTACAATGGCACAGGAAATGAGTAAAAATAAACAAATCAAACTAAAAGGCTTTTGCACAAAGAAACTATCATTAAAGCCAAAGACACCCTATCGAGTGGGAGAAAATATTTGCACATCATACATCTGACAAGGGACTAATACCCAAAAATCAACAAAGAACTCATACAACTCAACAACAACAAAAAAATCCAATCAAAAATGGGTAGAAAAGCTAAACAGAAACTTCCACAAAGGCGGCATACAAATGGCCAACAGGGATGTGAAAAAATGTTCATTAATTATCAGGGGAAAGCAAATCAAAACCACAGTGACGTATCATCTACCATCTCAAACCCATGAGAAATGGCCCATATTAAAAAAAAAAAACAAAAAACAGAAACAAGTGATGGTGAGAGTGTAAAAAAAAAGGAAGCCTCATATACTGCTGGTGGGAATGCAGACTGGTTCAGGCCCTATGGAAAACAATATGGAGGTTCCTCAAAATCTTAAAAATATATTTAACATATGATCCAGCAATTCCATTCCTTGGAATTTATCCAAAGACTGCAAAAACACTATCTGAAAGGATACTGGCACATCTATGGTCACTGCAGCACTATACACAATAGCCAAGGTACAGAAACAACATAAGTGCCCAATGACAGCTAAGTGGATATAGTTGTGGTATATTTACACATGGAATACCACTCAGATATTAAAAAAAGATGAAATCTTGCCATCTGTAATCACCTTGATGGACTAGAAGGGATTATGCCAACTCAAGCCAGAAAGAAACAAATATGAGAGGATTTTGCGCATGTATGGAATGTAAAGAAATGAAAGGAAAAGAGAAAGTTAAACCAAAATAAACCCTAGATTTCTGATAAAAGAATTGAGGCAATCAGAGGGGGAGTGTGAGCGGTGGGAAGCAAAAGGAGGAGGGGGCCCAATGGGCTATGGTGGAGATCATAGGTGCTTATGATGTGGTAAAATACCTTTGAAGAGGTGTACACCTATTTTTCTAAATAATACACAGTGTCATAAACCAATGTTACCTCAATAAAAATAATATAATTTACAGTAAGAAAGATAAATGCAGGGCCTCCCTGGTGGTGCAAGGGGTTAAGACGCATCACTATGAAGCTATCTGCAGCCACTGCAGCATGAGTTCCATCCCCGGCCAGGGAGCTACCCACATGGTACAGCAGACCTCTCCTGTCGCGCCTGCTGCTCCCCTCAGCAGTGTTTTTCAGTAGTTCTGCCTGTTCTGCTCCCATTATGTCTCTGGTGAATCCTCTTACCCCCACCTCCGGCCTGTACCCCAGTTCTTGTATGCATAAAATAAATCTTTAAAAAAAAAAAAAAAAAGATGAATGCAAGGATAGTACCTGAGATCCTATCAGTGGAACTGTAAGGATTTAAGTATGCCAGAAAGTCACCTGATATAATAAAGAAATGCCTTCAGGAGATATTCCCAGGTCATCGATGACTATTTATTTAAACCCACCTTGTTCCCAAAAGGATTTAAAACAGCCTGCAGCCCTGCTCTTTGGGTCTGGGAAGGGCAGACCCAAAGTCTTAGCCAAAGTCCTTTTTGAAAATATAAAATTACAGGTTCTGTTACCTCCCTGTACTTTCATATCTGTGGATCGTGCTGGATATCACAGCTGTGTATTCTTTTTTTTTTTTCTTAAAAGATTTATTTATTTATATAAGCACTAGGGTACAGTCAGAAGCGCGGGAGGGCAAGAGAATTCACCAGAGCCAGAGCGGGGAGCTGAACAGGCAGACTGACGAAGAAACACACTGCTGAGGGGAGCAGCAGGCGGCAGGAGAGGTCTGCGCGCCATGCGGCACCCTCCTCCAGTGGCCGGGGAGCAGCCGGGGATCAAACCGGCGCTGCAGAGGCTGCGGGCAGCTTCGCAACCCAGCGCTCAACCGCTGCGCCACTAGGGAGGCCCAGCTGTGTATTCTTAAAAGACACTAATTGCATATATCCATGCAACAAAAGTAAAAATTTAGGTTTAATATTCCTTCTGGTCTGTTTCTCTGGCCTGAGTCCAATTTTATTACTGTGTAAGTAATATGAATGGATTCACCAACTCAAAAGTAAGCTACCCCTATATCAACTAACCATTTTTAAGAGTCAAATAATGTTCCTAACTAAGAGGTATACAAGTAAGACATCAACTGGGAGGAACTTATTTTTCATTTCCATAAAGAAAAGAAAACTTACAATTTGGAATCAGAGAGGAGAAATAACTTGTCACGTTTTACATATATACCATGACAAGCTATGGTTTCAACCCCACCCTCCTCAAATGAACAAGATCAAAACCATTCTGGTTCTCTGGAATTCATGTAGCTTTAGCAAGGCATTTAAAGTATCATTTTTTTCATTTAGAGTACCCAGAATTGTTCCCCCAAATTACCTCTAACCGAAGTCCTACAAATGGCATATTTGTATCACACATAGCGACAAAGTGAGCTAAAACTTTATTGAAGGCACACGTTTCTCCTGATCGTTTGGTTTTCTTGGATTCTACCGGACATGGATCATCAGACAACTAGAATTTAAAGAACACAGTGGGCCAAAAAAACACAGATGATGGAATTAGTAAAGGCAGTTAAATCATTAAAACAAAACTCAGGGTTAACCAAAAGTCATTTAAATATTTATTGAGCAAATACTGACTAAACACCAAAAATTCACTAGCAAACAGTGTATTTAAGAGTCTTCTGTGGAAAATGGTGTATAATTAAAAGTGAAGCATTTTCAAGAAAAGGTTGATTAACTGTTAATTAAACCTTATAGCCAACCCAGTCTTTTGAAACAGTATCTAATTAGTTTTCATGTTAAAAATGGTTAAAGAATACAATAAAGTTAATATACCTATGTTCTGTGCTCATTTCCATATGTGATCATACCTTGCGCTTGGTACCGGTTCTGGGCTGTTTCCCAGTTTTTGTACGAAAAACCAAGTCCTGGATATTTTCCTTGAACTGCTGCAGCTGGAGTGCCACCACAGGGCTGTCTTCACGGTCTGTAGCACTCACAGACAGGAAGTAGTACTTGTATGACAGCTGTGTGGGTTTATTGGGAACCTCCAACATTTCCACAACCTAAAAAAGAGGCAAATTAAAAATGAGAAATATTAAGTGTTGGATACTTTCCTCCTCCTATCAAGTAGGGCTCAGAATTATAAAACTAATCAGATGTCCTTTAAATGAAGGACAAATCAATCATGGTGTCCAAAAAAGCCATACCCAGTAAATACTTAATTTGTTTTCTAAAAAATATATCATACTAAAGAATAACAATAAAATTAAAAGTAACCATAAACTATAGCAAATGGAACATTCAGACTATCACCATCAGGTGTTCTTGTTATTCATACATTAGCTTATAAGCTGAAAAACCTTTATGCTTAAATCTAGTAGGTCTGCTAGATTTTCTAGAATGTCTATTTTAAATTGCCCTGCTTTTTTCCTTAACCATTAAAAATTCCTGAGAGGGCAAGATGTACAAACTTCCAACTACAAGATAACCAAGTACTTGGGCTGTGCTGAGTGACACAATTCCTATAGCTGACATTGTTATATGGTACATAGGAGAGCTGTCAAACAGACTAAACCAAAGGTTCTCATCAGGAGAAAATTTTTTTCCTTTCTTTTCTTATGATAGCTGTATAAGAAGATGGATTTTAGCTGAATCTATTGTGGTAAATATTTCACAATATATGTAAATGAAACCATCATGCTCTATGCTTTACACTTGTACAGTGACATACACCAATTATTTCTCAGTAAAACTGGAAAGAAAATGAATAATATATAGAAATTAGATTTTTTTTTAAATGTCACTATTTATGGCAGATCAAGTGACAACTCTTACTCAAATTTGAAAGCATATAAAAATAAGCCCTGGTTTTTCAACTAAAACATATGGTTACTGTGAGGATAAGGGTAACAACATCAGCAATAATTAACACTGACAGAGAGCTTACTATGTGCCGTGCACTGTCTTAAGTATTCCACACATGTTAACACATTAATCCTCTCAAATAACTGTCAAGTAGAGATTAGTGTCTCCATTTTCTGATGAGAAAACTGAAGAAAAAAAAAGTTTGGTTACTTGCCCAAGGTGACCAAACTAAGAAGCGATGGAATCAGGCTCTGATCGTAGAAGTTTAACTCCAGAGACCTTGCTCTTACCACCATACCAGCTTACTAGCTTCAAGGTCTACCTAATAATTAAGAAAAGCTCCCTAAATAGTTTAGTGGGAAAAATAAATGATTTTAGACAAGGCTCTTGACCAATACCCCACTTTCCTATCTCTATTCCTGGCTCTCTTCTCCCTGTCACCCTACTCCTTCCCAAATTCTCTTCATGAAATTGTTTGGTCAACATCTAGGCATCACACTGATGAACCTGAGGAATTGGAAGATTTAAAAGTAAAACGGACATTTCACCAAGCAAGACACATAGATGACAAATAAGCACAGGAAGAGATACTTAACATTATCAGCCACTGGAGCAGCATAAATTAGGGCTATAACAAGATACCACTACACATCTATCAGAATGGCTAAAATTAAAAAAAAAGAAATTACAGTACCAAATGCTAGGAAGAATGCAGAACAATTATAACATTTATTGCTAGCGGGAATGCAAAATGGCTCAGCCACTTTGGAAAACACTTTCTTAGAAAGTTAAACATACAGTTAACATATGACCCAGCAACCCTACTCTTATTTATCCAAAAGAAATTAAAGTTAAATTTACCAAATAACCTATATGCAAAAGCTCATTGCAGCTTTATTTGCCATTGCCCCCAAACTGGAAACCACCCAGAGGTCCTTTAATAGGTGACTAAACAAACCATGTTACATCCATTCCATGGAATATTCCTCAGCAATAGAAGGAATGAACTATTATACACACAACATGGGTGACTGTCAAAGGTATCATACTGCTCGAAAGAAACTGCACTGGAAAGGCAAAACTAGAGACAGAAAATGTCAGGTCACTAGCTGCATGTAGAGGGAGGGTTTGACTATACAGGGCAGCATAAGGGAATTCTGAGGGGTAATAGACCTGTTCTGTCTTGACTGAGATGCAGATTACAAACTGTAAGCATCTATCAAAATTCAATTCAAGGTCTCATTTTTTATTGTATAAATTTAATCTTAATATGACAAAATAAAATGACAGACATTTAAAGGGAGATCAATCGCAGCAAGCCTTTCCAATGGTCTTAGAGCCCATGGTGGTAGTTCCTTCCTCATCAATGAACACAATACTCCCAAGTGGGAAATATGGAGGACAAAGTAATGTACATTCAGCTTTGGCCTATACGATATGAAACAAATTATTGTTTTATAATAAATCACTAGTCATTGAAACCAAAGCCTGTTTTGGATACTAAAAAAGGTCAGAAAATACTAAATCATAGACAATTTATTTTGTGTATAGCTGAGACCATTGTGTGCTTATGGATTTCATTATTCATACAATCTGCATAACATTTCGCATGTAGGCCAGGCAGTTCTGTGAGAACTAAAACAATAATCCTTGTCTAAGTGCCAGATCTAGTTCTCAGCTGGTATTTTGAAATTCAGAAAAAAGAGTGATATTCACATCAATTTCAAACATATTAGTCTACATGGTTAACTCTAACTTAAGGCAGGCTAAACAGAGTACCTTTTAAAGATAATTATCTTTTAAAAGTATAGCCACAAAGCTTAGAAAAATTCACTTGTACTACCTTCAACTAACAATCCTGAGTTAAATTTTTTTTTTAAGATTTATTTTTATTTGTTTATACAAGCACTGGGTACAGTCAGAAGCACGGGAGGGTGAGAGAATTCACCAGAGGCAGAGCGGGGAACAGAGCAGGCAGACTGAAGTACACTGCTGAGGGGAGCAGCGGGCGGCAGGAGAGGTCTGCACACCATGTGGGACTCTCCTCCCGGTGGCCGGGGAGCAGCCGGGGATCGAACCGGCGCTGCAGAGGCTGTGGGCAGCTTCGCAACCCAGCACCCAACCGCTGCGCCACCGGGGAGGCCCCTGAATTAAATTTTTAAATACTTAAAATTCTTGGCAAAAAGTATCTATTTGGTGTATAAACAAACTTCTACAGGCAAGGAATAATATTAAGGGTGAGTTCATATTTCAAATTCTTGCAAATTTTAACCAATTCAAAGACCTCAAAAAAATTAACTGGAAAACACATAAAAAGAGTGAAAAGGGAGTAAGAAATTTTACTGTTCACTGAAAGGTACGTGCAATCAATAGATATGTACGTCTTCAACCAATTAAGGGTGAAAAACAAAGCTACTTCAGCCAGCCCATATTTAAAAGGTTGCATTACGCAAGTTAATGTTTAATTAGAACCAAACAGGTTTATCAGACACCAAAACCTTCATAGTAGTTGCTCTCAATTTTTTTCTTCTTGTAAGAGGAGGTAACTCCTTCCAAGCAGAATTCCCCAACTCTGCCTGCTCATTATATTTCTTAGAAACGTCACTTTCTTCTCTCTGCCATCCCTATCTCCGGGGTTGAGAATGACTATACAAAAGTCAAATATCTAATGCAACATACTTGCAAATTAAACAATAAATCACTTAAGATATTAATAGAATTACTGAGCTCAATCACCCAAATCACCCCTTCACATACTTACAATGTAGTATTGTGGAAGACGGGTAAGCTTAATGAACAGTTTATTCTTCGAAAGGTTTCCAATAGGATGGGTTGAGTAATTGGACAGCTGCAATGTTTCAGTGCTTATTGTAGGGAGATGTTTAATAGACTGTTTACAACGCTGTTGTCCAAGCCAAAACCTTTATTTAAAAGAGATAACGTACATTATAAAATCTTAAGACTTTTTGGATTGTGTGCTATTGGTTTACAGATTACTGAAGATTACTAAAAAGTCAATTAATTTGAAATTTAAATGAACAAAAAGGACATGTAACCATCATGACCAATCATTTCTCCAGTTCTGTGTTGTACTTTTACTTCTATATGATCTAAGGAGTTTAAACTACAATGTGAACGATTTTGACTATTTCTATGGCAGAATTAACTAGTATTTATGGATCAGACAGTTTCCAGTTTATTAGAGGGGATGACGGATTTCCTAAGGTTTACAAGATGGCACAAACTAATCTCAACATCATTTATAAAATGCCTGAACTGTTTATAAAACAAAATTAAGTGGAAAAGTACTTCATTTTCCTGCTATCTCTGGAGATAATACAGACCCAATTTTTATAAAATGACATACATGTACTTAGCAGGTGCCAATAAGCGTTAAAATACTCTCTTCCACTTCTTTCAGTTAAGCTACACACTTGGATGCATTTACTATAGTACTTCTCGCATTTCCTTTCAATTATTTATCCTTCAAGCTAGGATACCATATAATACGTGAAAAAGGAATAAAATGACTGGTTCACAAACTTTCTGCCATGAGATAACTACAGAAAATGAGAATATGAACTTAGGAAGATTTGACTAAACAAAACAATACCATAACATCCAAGTTCATGATCAGCAGGCTCTGTCTTACTGAATAGAGTAAAGACAAATTCAGGTGCTGTTTGCATTTATATGAGCTGCATGTGGTAGAAACTACTAATTATGTGCAGTAACATGACATGTTAAATGTAGTTTGTCAACTATAACCCAAAAATGTATAAAATCTAAAGACCTTTTTTTTTCACTGAAAAACAAATTTAACTGCATATTCACAGGATCAATTGCTAGAACTGGTTATTAATGAAAGAATCAAAGCAAAATTTGAAAACAGACCATTATTTGCTTCATTTTGGAAAAGTTAAAAATGAATATTCTAAACTTGCTGTAAAATTGCTTTCAAATACCACCTTCTAAACCCATTAACATACCATTGTGAGGCTAGTATCTTTACGTGTTATTAAAAGAAAAACACAGAAACAGTAAAGCTCTATATTATCTCCTGTGATTAACATCATTAATCCAACCTAGATGTTACAAGCAAGAAACAAGATCATTTATCACATTAAAAATTCTACTGACATTAAAGACATTCATTTCAAAGTGCATATAGATTACTATTTTAGTCTTGGTTTTTTAATTTCATTTTGACTTTATGGGGTAAAATTTGAGCATAAGAGTTATTTTCTACATGGTCAATAAGCACACTTTCAATGAAAAAGGTATCTAGATCATGAATTTTCTTTTTTCTTATGTCTGTTTTGATTATATTTACTGAGATGTAATTTTACATCTGTTCACTCTAATAAAAATATGACTTCACATTTTCCCCCCCCTTATTCTTTCTTCATCCATGCCCTTTGTGTATTATGATCTTCCAAGTTACTAATCAGTACTCCATTTGATCTAGTTTGCTTCTAGAGCTTTCTGCAGAATTTATCTCCTCTATTGATCCCTTTGCATCCTGCAGCTTTTTTTTTTTTTTTTTTTAATTTTCTAGAGGCATGTCTTATTTATTTATTTATTTATTGTTTGTTTGTTTGATACATGCACTGGGTACAGTCAGAAGCGTGGGAGGGTGAGAGAATTCACCAGAGCCAGAGCGGGGAGCAGAGCAGGCAGAAGGACCGAAGTACACTGCTGAGGGGAGCAGCGGGCGGCAGGAGAGGTCTGCGCACCATGTGGGACCCTCCTCTGGTGGCCGGGGAGCAGCCGGGGATCGAACCGGCTGCAGAGGCTGCAGGCAGCTTCGCAACCCAGCGCTCAACCGCTGCGCCACCGGGGAGGCCCATCCTGCAGCTTTTTTAAATAAGATTTTTATTTATGCATACAAGAGCTGGCATACAGGCCAGAGGTATGGGGGGTGAGAGGACTCACCAGAGACAGTGGGGAACAGAAAAGGCAGACTGACTGAAGTACACTGCTGAGGGGAGCAGCGGGTGAGACAGGAGAGGTCTGTTGCACCATGTGGGTAGCTCCCTGGCCTGGGATCAAACTCGTGCTGCAGTAGCTGCGGACAGCTTCATAGTGCTGAGACTTAACCCCCTTGCGCCACTGAGGAGGCCCTGGATCTTTTATTTTGTTTAAATTTTCAATTTCTAATTTTTGTTCATTAATTTTATTTCTCAAGTCATTCATTTCCCCCCTGTATTTGCTGCATTTTCTACTATTCTTTTGAAATTCTTTACCATGGCAATTTTTAACTCTGTCTGATAGGAAGAGAAGATTTTCCATATCTTTGTGGCTGGATCAGGAGACTTGTTCTCTCCTTGTGGTGACATATTTCCTTGAGGCTTCATATTGCTGTGTATTTTGGGTTGTATTTTGGCGGCTCTTTTTGCTGTATTAGATCTTCTCCCCTGAAGCCCTGTACTCTCCAACATTAGCAAATTGATAGCTTCAAGCAAAGCCCAAGACAGCACACTTGAAGGGTGAAGTGGGTACCATGTCTGCCTCCCTACCCTGGCCACCAGCAACCCTTTTTTTTTTTACAGGCTCTGTTCCCTGGTGGTTACCTGTAGTTTCTGACTACACACTCTGAACACAGGTCCAGATGCTCTGGAGGAGGAAAAGATGGGTGTGCCCTCAGTGTCTCAGAAGCCCAAGTTCTAGAAGCCACTTGCCAAGAAATCTATGCATATAATATGCCTGGCAGTATGCCTTTTCCCCTACAATGGGGCTAGACAGGCGACTGTTCTTGCAGTGTTTTTGTAAGCACAGCCCAGGTCACATGCTGATGGGAGAAGAAAGGGTGGGCATGCCCTCAGTCTGCATGAAGCCCGCAGTCTAGAAGCCTGCTGCCGAGAGGTCTGTGTGCACAATATGCCTCCATCATTTTTCATTTAAATGTTAACAGCTGTTCATATGTTATATACTGCTGGCATTAAAAATCATTCCTTTCAATGAAAAAAATACTTGATTACATTAAGTCTTCAAATACGTACAAAGCCAAAACTGGCAAGACTAGGTGGGCTAGAAGATCACACTAAGTGAGCAACCATTCATTGGTTCAATCACTCATTCAATTGTTCACTCATTTTGGTTTTCTAGGCTGCAACCTCCCATTTATCAGTTTTGACCTCTAAAATTTGTTTTTATTTCTTAAATTCTTTTGTATTAATTTTAAAGAACACTTTGTTAAAGTTGCCATAAGTGATACCTTTGTGTACCAGGGTGGTAATGAAACCTTATAAAATTATCTCTACCTTCATTTCCATTTTATTTAGTTTAGCAGTATGAAGCATTTAAAGGACTTTAAGACAAGTTGAATGACAGTATCAGAGGATAGAAATGACTATTCTGGAAGTGTCAGCTGGTAGAGTCATAGCATGAAGATTATCCCGGATAAGAACAAGACTACTGGAAAGAATACTAGATAGAACACAATTTATTGTATATGTGTTTTGTTGAGTGCTTGTATAGGAGAAAATGTAGCACAAGATGAAAATTAAGTGATTCTGTATTTGTTCTCTAGGGGAATTTGATACAAAGTACTACCATCTTGGATCTATTATGAGAAAATTTACATTCTCTTGGTACCACAAGGTGCTCAAGTTTCATCTCATATACATTAAGGACAGTGACTGATCAAGAGCAATGGTGAAGAAAATATATCTTGTTAAAATAAGTTTCCACTTTTAGTCTTGACCTAAATAAATAAGCTTACTTAAGTTGCTGAATCCAAGGAATGATCCGTTTCATATCATCATTCACAGATTTCTCCATGTCATCTAGTGTCGTCTGATCTATAGAATAAGTTTATTAATAGCTTACACAAGGTACAAAATTTTTTATCTAGGTAGCACAAGACATAAATGAAAATTATCATTTTAGACAAAAAGTACTATTTTTGAATCAGAGCAAAACTAAACATACCATTAGGTATTAACTGAATTTGTTTTCCCTCATTAACATTTAGGGAGAATAAGATTAAGAAAATTATTAGCAACATATACTAGCAGGAAGAACAAATTACAAATACATTAATTCTTTACCTATTTAATTCCTAAAACTCAATCTAGTTAATATTTTTAACTATGTGTATTTAAAACTCATAGTATGACTAGACTTAAACCTTAAGAATTATAAAAGCTGTGCAAATAAAAATGTTTATTAAACACAAATGGTCTCTGGCGTAAGCCAAGAGTTGTTCGCTGAAGATTGACTTGCTGTCACTTCGAATTTTTAATGAACTAGAAAATGCTAATAGAACACTGAGCAAAAAGCAAGATCTAAATTAATTTCAACTAAAGAAAAAAAGTATATAATAAATTAGAAGGGCATATTGCTAGGAGCTGGATTGTATCTCTCCAAATTTTATGTTGAAGCTCTAACACCTAATGTGATGGTAGTTAGAGGTAGGGACTTTGTTAAACAATTAGGTTTAAATGATACTAGTGTCCTTCATGATGGGATTACTCCCCTTATAGGCAGAGGTGCTAGAGCTTTCTTTCTCTCTTCCTGCCATATGAGGGAACAGTGAAAAGGCCGCCATCGAAAGTTAGAAGAGTCCTCTTGACCATAACTTGATCATGGTAATCTGATATCAGACTTCCAGTCTCCAGAACTATGAGAAAATAAATTTCTGTTGTTTAAGCCACCCAGATTGTAGTTCTATGTTATGGTAGCCCGAGCAGACTAAGACAA